TTGAGCAGAGGTGGGACAAAGTCATTGTTATGCAAGTCCAAGTCGAGTCTGAAGTCATCAAATTCATGACTCGAGTCTGACTCGAGTCCAAGTCACATGACTCGAGTCCACACTCAGAGGTGGGACAAAGTCATTGTTATGCAAGTCCAAGTCGAGTCTGAAGTCATCAAATTCATGACTCGAGTCTGACTCGAGTCCAAGTCACATGACTCGAGTCCACACCTCAGAGGTGGGACAAAGTCATTGTTATGCAAGTCCAAGTCGAGTCTGAAGTCATCAAATTCATGACTCGAGTCTGACTCGAGTCCAAGTCACATGACTCGAGTCCACACCTCAGAGGTGGGACAAAGTCATTGTTATGCAAGTCCAAGTCGAGTCTGAAGTCATCAAATTCATGACTCGAGTCTGACTCGAGTCCAAGTCACATGACTCGAGTCCACACCTCTGCTATTGAGTCTCTAATACATTTTTGCTCGTAATAATTAGTCTCGCACAGGACCTCATACAACGGATCCTCATCCTGATTGATGCCGTCGCAGTGATCAGCGCGAAACGTCGGACCATCCTGTTAAAACGCCCACGCGATGCGGCGACAATCAAAATCACATTTCCTCATCTCTCCGGTGGAAACTCCGCGTTCCTATGACGGGTCCGCCCCTGGCGTGAGACCTGCTGCGCCGAGGGCGGCAGCAGCCGCCGCGTGACGTCACCCGCCAGGTTCGTCAACCAGCGGCGGCGCGCTCTCAAAGCCGGTTATGACGTCACGCGCGAAGCACGGAATATGACGTCACGCGATGATCTACGGGGAGTGACGTCACGTTGGTTGCTACGGAGTGACGTCACGCGATGAGCTACAGGGAGTGATGTCACGCGATGAGCTCTGGGGAGTGATGTCACGTTGCGAGCTACGGAGAGCGACGTCACACAACAGCTACGGGGAGTGACGTCACGCGACGAGCTACGAGAGTGACGTCACCGAATGAGCTCTGGAGAGTGACGTTACGCGATGAGCGCTGCGGTCTCCATGGTGACAGGGCCCGGGGATGCTGCGCGTCCTCTCCTCCCCCCACGGTAATGGCCCCGGTTAAACGCCAGGCCACCATCACCATCATCATCAGCCAGCAGCATCATCATCACCATCATCATCACCATCAGCATCATGATCAGCATCATCATCAGCATCATCATCATCACCATCATCATCACCATCATCATCATCAGCATCACCATCATCATCACCATCATCATCACCATCATCAGCATCATCATCACCATCACCACCCACCATCATCATCACCATCATCACCTCACCAGCATCCCCAGCCATCACCAGCATCATCATCATCATCACCACCATCATCATCACCATCATCATCATCAGCATCACCATCATCATCACCATCATCATCACCATCATCAGCATCATCATCACCATCACCACCATCATCATCAGCATCATCATCACCATCATCACCATCACCAGCATCATCAGCATCATCAGCATCATCATCACCATCATCAGCATCATCATCACCACCATCAGCATCATCAGCATCATCATCATCAGCAGCATCATCATCATCAGCATCATCATCATCAGCATCATCATCATCACCACCATCATCAGCATCATCATCACCATCATCATCAGCATCATCACCATCATCATCATCATCACCACCATCATCATCACCATCATCATCATCATCACCACCATCATCATCACCATCATCACCATCACCAGCATCACCAGCATCACCATCATCATCACCAGCATCACCATCATCATCACCATCATCACCATCACCAGCATCACCAGCATCACCATCATCATCACCAGCATCACCATCATCATCACCAGCATCATCATCACCATCATCATCACCATCATCACCATCACCAGCATCACCAGCATCACCAGCATCATCATCATCATCATCACCACCATCATCATCACCATCATCACCATCACCAGCATCACCAGCATCACCATCATCATCACCAGCATCATCACCATCATCAGCATCATCAGCATCACCAGCATCAGCATCACCAGCATCATCAGCATCACCATCATCACCAGCATCACCATCATCACCAGCATCACCACCACCATCAGCATCACCAGCATCATCAGCATCACCATCATCACCAGCATCACCCATCATCACCAGCATCACCACCATCATCAGCATCATCAGCATCACCAGCATCAGCATCACCAGCATCGTCAGCATCACCATCATCACCAGCATCACCATCATCACCAGCATCACCACCACCATCAGCATCACCAGCATCATCAGCATCACCATCATCACCAGCATCACCATCATCACCAGCATCACCACCATCACCATCATCACCAGCATCACCACCATCATCATCACCATCATCACCACCATCATCATCATCACCATCATCATCATCACCATCATCATCACCATCATCATCACCAGCATCACCACCATCACCACCATCAGCATCACCACCATCATCATCATCACCACCATCATCATCATCATCACCATCATCATCATCACCACCATCATCATCATCATCACCATCATCAGCATCACCACCATCACCACCACCACCATCATCATCATCATCACCACCACCATCATCACCACCACCATCAGCATCACCAGCATCACCACCATCATCATCATCATCACCACCATCATCACCAGCATCAGCATCACCACCATCACCATCATCACCACCACCACCATCATCATCATCACCACCATCAGCATCAACCACCATCATCATCATCACCATCATCATCACCATCAGCATCACCACCATCACCAGCATCACCACCATCAGCATCACCACCATCACCATCATCACCACCACCATCATCATCATCACCACCATCAGCATCAACCACCATCATCATCACCATCAGCATCACCATCAGCATCACCACCATCACCATCACCAGCATCACCACCATCAGCATCACCACCATCACCATCAGCATCATCATCATCACCAGCATCAACATCACCAGCATCATCATCACCAGCATCATCATCACCACCATCACCATCATCATCACCATCATCATCATCACCACCATCATCATCATCACCATCATCAGCATCACCACCATCACCACCACCACCATCATCATCATCATCACCACCACCATCATCACCACCACCATCAGCATCACCAGCATCACCACCATCATCATCATCATCACCACCATCATCATCACCCCATCAGCATCACCACCATCATCATCACCATCATCATCACCACCATCATCACCAGCATCAGCATCACCACCATCACCATCATCACCACCACCACCATCATCATCATCACCACCATCAGCATCAACCACCATCATCATCATCATCACCATCATCATCACCATCATCACCATCACCAGCATCACCAGCATCACCATCATCATCACCAGCATCATCACCATCATCAGCATCATCAGCATCACCAGCATCAGCATCACCAGCATCATCAGCAATCACCATCATCACCAGCATCACCATCATCACCAGCATCACCACCACCATCAGCATCACCAGCATCATCAGCATCACCATCATCACCAGCATCACCATCATCACCAGCATCACCACCATCATCAGCATCATCAGCATCACCAGCATCAGCATCACCAGCATCGTCAGCATCACCATCATCACCAGCATCACCATCATCACCAGCATCACCACCACCATCAGCATCACCAGCATCATCAGCATCACCATCATCACCAGCATCACCATCATCACCAGCATCACCACCATCACCATCATCACCAGCATCACCACCATCATCATCACCATCATCACCACCATCATCATCATCACCATCATCATCATCACCATCATCATCACCATCATCATCACCAGCATCACCACCATCACCACCATCAGCATCACCACCATCATCATCATCACCACCATCATCATCATCATCACCATCATCATCATCACCACCATCATCATCATCATCACCATCATCAGCATCACCACCATCACCACCACCACCATCATCATCATCACCACCACCATCATCACCACCACCATCAGCATCACCAGCATCACCACCATCATCATCATCATCACCACCATCATCACCAGCATCAGCATCACCACCATCACCATCATCACCACCACCACCATCATCATCATCACCACCATCAGCATCAACCACCATCATCATCATCACCATCATCATCACCATCAGCATCACCACCATCACCAGCATCACCACCATCAGCATCACCACCATCACCATCATCACCACCACCATCATCATCATCACCACCATCAGCATCAACCACCATCATCATCACCATCATCATCACCATCAGCATCACCACCATCACCATCACCAGCATCACCACCATCAGCATCACCACCATCACCATCAGCATCATCATCATCACCAGCATCAACATCACCAGCATCATCATCACCAGCATCATCATCACCACCATCACCATCATCATCACCATCATCATCATCACCACCATCATCATCATCACCATCATCAGCATCACCACCATCACCACCACCACCATCATCATCATCATCACCACCACCATCATCACCACCACCATCAGCATCACCAGCATCACCACCATCATCATCATCATCACCACCATCATCATCACCACCATCAGCATCACCACCATCATCATCACCATCATCATCACCACCATCATCACCAGCATCAGCATCACCACCATCACCATCATCACCACCACCACCATCATCATCATCACCACCATCAGCATCAACCACCATCATCATCATCATCACCATGATCATCACCATCAGCATCACCACCATCACCATCACCAGCATCACCACCATCAGCATCACCACCATCACCCTCATCACCACCATCATCATCATCACCACCATCAGCATCAACCACCATCATCATCACCATCATCATCACCATCAGCATCACCACCATCACCATCACCAGCATCACCACCATCAGCATCACCACCATCACCATCAGCATCATCATCATCACCAGCATCATCATCACCAGCATCATCATCACCAGCATCATCATCACCACCATCACCATCATCATCACCATCATCATCATCACCACCATCATCACCAGCATCAGCATCACCACCATCAGCATCACCACCATCATCATCACCATCATCATCACCACCATCATCACCCGCATCAGCATCACCAGCATCACCACCATCAGCATCACCACCATCATCATCACCACCATCATCATCACCACCATCAGCATCATCATCATCACCATCATCATCATCACCATCATCATCACCACCATCAGCATCACCACCATCATCATCATCATCACCATCATCATCACCATCTGCATCACCACCATCACCAGCATCACCACCATCAGCATCACCACCATCACCATCATCACCACCACCATCATCATCATCACCACCATCATCATCACCAGCATCATCATCACCAGCATCACCATCATCACCAGCATCATCACCATCACCAGCATCATCACCAGCATCACCATCATCACAACCATCAGCATCACCACCACCATCATCATCACCACCATCATCATCACCAGCATCATCATCACCAGCATCACCATCATCACCAGCATCATCACCATCACCAGCATCATCACCAGCATCACCATCATCACAACCATCAGCATCACCACCACCATCACCATCATCACCACCACCACCATCATCATCACCACCATCAGCATCACCACCATCATCATCACCAGCATCATCATCACCAGCATCACCATCATCACCATCATCACCACCATCAGCATCACCATCATCATCATCACCACCATCATCATCATCACCACCATCATCATCACCAGCATCATCATCACCAGCATCACCATCATCACCAGCATCATCACCATCACCAGCATCATCACCAGAATCACCATCATCACCATCACCACCATCATCAGCATCATCATCACCATCATCAGCATCACCACCATCATCACCATCACCACCATCATCCATCACCATCATCACCATCATCACCATCACCACCAGCATCATCATCACCACCACCATCATCACCATCACCACCATCACCACCACCAGCATCACCACCATCATCACCATCAGCATCACCACCATCATCACCATCATCACCATTATCATCACCACCATCATCACCATCATCACCATCACGACCATCACCACCATCACCACCACCATCACCATCATCACCATTATCATCACCACCATCATCACCATCATCATCACCATCAGCATCACCATCATCACCATCACCACCATCACCACCATCAGCATCACCACCATCATCACCATCAGCATCACCACCATCATCAGCATCACCACCATCATCACCATCACCACCATCACCACCACCATCATCATCATCATCACCACCATCATCACCATCAGCATCACCATCATCATCATCACCACCATCATCACCACCACCATCACCACCATCATCACCACCACCATCACCACCGTCAGCATCACCACCATCATCACCACCATCATCACCACCATCACCACCATCATCACCACCATCATCATCACCATCATCACCACCATCATCACCATCATCATCACTACCATTAACAGCATCACCATCATCACCATCACCAGCATCATCATCATCACTACCATCAACAGCATCACCATCATCACCATCACCAGCATCATCACCATTACCACCATCATCACCACCATCATCACCATCACCAGCATCATCACCATCACCACCATCATCACCACCATCAGCATCACCACCATCATCATCATCATCATCACCATCATCATCACCATCTGCATCACCACCATCACCAGCATCACCACCATCAGCATCACCACCATCACCATCATCACCACCACCATCATCATCATCACCACCATCATCATCACCAGCATCATCATCACCAGCATCACCATCATCACCAGCATCATCACCATCACCAGCATCATCACCAGCATCACCATCATCACAACCATCAGCATCACCACCACCATCATCATCACCACCATCATCATCACCAGCATCATCATCACCAGCATCACCATCATCACCAGCATCATCACCATCACCAGCATCATCACCAGCATCACCATCATCACAACCATCAGCATCACCACCACCATCACCATCATCACCACCACCACCATCATCATCACCACCATCAGCATCACCACCATCATCATCACCAGCATCATCATCACCAGCATCACCATCATCACCATCATCACCACCATCAGCATCACCATCATCATCATCACCACCATCATCATCATCACCACCATCATCATCACCAGCATCATCATCACCAGCATCACCATCATCACCAGCATCATCACCATCACCAGCATCATCACCAGAATCACCATCATCACCATCACCACCATCATCAGCATCATCATCACCATCATCAGCATCACCACCATCATCACCATCACCACCATCATCCATCACCATCATCACCATCATCACCATCACCACCAGCATCATCATCACCACCACCATCATCACCATCACCACCATCACCACCACCAGCATCACCACCATCATCACCATCAGCATCACCACCATCATCACCATCATCACCATTATCATCACCACCATCATCACCATCATCACCATCACGACCATCACCACCATCACCACCACCATCACCATCATCACCATTATCATCACCACCATCATCACCATCATCATCACCATCAGCATCACCATCATCACCATCACCACCATCACCACCATCAGCATCACCACCATCATCACCATCAGCATCACCACCATCATCAGCATCACCACCATCATCACCATCACCACCATCACCACCACCATCATCATCATCATCACCACCATCATCACCATCAGCATCACCATCATCATCATCACCACCATCATCACCACCACCATCACCACCATCATCACCACCACCATCACCACCGTCAGCATCACCACCATCATCACCACCATCATCACCACCATCACCACCATCATCACCACCATCATCATCACCATCATCACCACCATCATCACCATCATCATCACTACCATTAACAGCATCACCATCATCACCATCACCAGCATCATCATCATCACTACCATCAACAGCATCACCATCATCACCATCACCAGCATCATCACCATTACCACCATCATCACCACCATCATCACCATCACCAGCATCATCACCATCACCACCATCATCACCATTATCACCATCACCAGCGTCATCATCACCATCATCATCACCACCATCATCATCATCATCACCAGCATCACCAGCATCACCACCATCATCACCATCATCACCATCACCACCATCATCATCACCATCATCATCACCACCAGCACCATCATCATCACCATCATCACCAGCACCATCATCATCACCACCATCATCACCATCATCACCAGCATCATCATCATCACCAGCACCATCATCACCACAATCACCACCATCATCATCACCATCATCACCATCACCAGCAGTATCACCATCATCACCAGCATCATCATCATCATCACCATCATCATCACCATCATCATCACCATCACCACCACCATCATCATCATCACCATCATCACCACCATCATCACCATCATCATCACCAGCAGTATCACCATCATCACCAGCATCATCACCATCATCATCACCACCATCATCATCACCAGCATTACCATCATCATCACCACCATCCTCATCACCAGCATCACCATCATCACCACCACCATCATCACCAGTATCACCATCATCACCAGCATCATCATCACCATCATCACCAGCACCATTGCCGTTATCATGAATATCAAGTTCACTGTCACCTTACCATAAACCACCGCCGTCATTATTACCATAACCGCAATCAATCATCGTCATCATCAACACCGGCATCGCTTCACCGCCGTCTCTGTGATCGCCGTCCCCACGCTCATCTCTGTGCCCAGCGAAAGTGCCCGCCACGGGTTGACTCCGATGGGGCCCGGCCACTCACAGCGGCAGCAGCAGCAGCGTGAACGGGGAAGCCTGCGGAATCGACCCCCTTCTCAGTTTTAGTTTAATGGGACCAAGTCTTCGGCAAAAGAGCCTACTGACTCCTCGTGTTTACTACACAGTGCTGACTCGGGTGTGCATTGTGCTTCATGGGTAGCGGTCAGTCGGCGAGTGGGGGACCGCTGAGCCGTGGCGATTCGCGTCCTGGGTGGCCGCGTGGAGCCCTCGGCTCAGCCTGTGCAGTGCCGCCACAGCCGCAGCTCGACTCTGTCTGGAGATCTGTTCAATCAGTGCCCCCCCCCCCCCCCCCACAGCAGCTGGGGTCGGTGCTGATGTCGCACTCCATCGCTCCCCCGCCAGCCAGGGCTTCTTGCCCGGCAGCCCCTGGGCGATCTTCGTAGTGGCGGCAGCCTCCTCGGGTTGGGGGGCCGATCTTCTCCAGGAGCTGGAGCTGGCGACAGCTGCAGCTACCCACATTGGCGAAGGCGACGCGAGCAGCGGGGGGGGGGGGGATCCGTGACTCCGTTTTACCCCTTCCCCGAGGTCCACCCCCCACACTCGAGAGGGAGCCCCCCCCCCCCACCGTGGGCATCCCTCCGGCTCCACTCTCCATACTTGGGGTCGCGGTCACCACCACCCGAGCCCCTCACTCCAGCACGCGCTTTGTAACTTTGTTAAATCCCTTGGGTCATCCCTGCAGACCCTGCCACCCTGGGTCTCGCTGGCGACCACCAGCGGTGGTCGATGTTCGACAATCATTGCCCTGCTCTGTCCGCCGCAGCTTCGTGATGGAGGTGGGCCGCCTCCCGCTGGAGCTGTGGCGTCTCATCCTCTCCTACCTCCAGTTGCCCGAGTTGGGCCGCTGCAGCTCCGTGAGCCGCACCTGGCGGGAGCTCGTCGTCAGCTTGGACAAGACGCGCTGGCGGCAGCTGTACCTGGGCTCGCCTCACGCCTGCCGTCGCCCACCGAACTGGCCGCTGCGGCCGGAATTGGAGCCGCCGTCGTGGCGCGAGGCCCTGCGGAGGGCCCTCCTCGCCAACCGCGTGTGGCGCCGCCACGACAGCCGCTGGAGTACCGTCGATGTCACCGGCTGTCTGTACGGGCCCTTCTTCCGCAAGCGGCCCGAATGTCGCAGCGCGTGGGTGGGTCCCGGCGGCGACTACGAGAGCCTGCGGGTGGCGTTGGCCTCACTGCCGCCCTACAGCCGCGTGTTTCTGCTGCCGGGCGTCTACGAGGAGCAGAGCGAGGTGGTCCTGCGGGCGCCCGTCGAGATCGTGGGCCAGGGCAGCCTGGGCCAGGTGGCGCTGCTCGTCAGCTTTGAACAGCAGTGCCCCACCGTACGCCTCTGCAACCTCGTGCTCATGCAGGCCTGGTTCACGCCCATCATCTACAAGGTGGGACGGGGATTCTAAAAGTGGGCCGCGCAGTTTACAATGCGTTCATTCCTCCTTCCAGGTTCCAGCTGGTTGAGAACGAGAACGTGCGCCAACCGTGGGAGGCACCGCAAGATCGAGGAATCTGCAGATTAATGGAGGACTTATGTTTAGAGTTGAGCGATACATGATCGTGAAATTAAACACGATACACAAGGGCTGTAGCTTCACGTCCCTTTTTAAAATGGTTGAAGTGGTTAGATACTCGAGTTTCAGTGGTGCTGGCTGAACGGATATTGCCATGTCATTATCAATAGGGCTGTAATGCACTCAGTTGCTGAAGCTAAATCATGAAGCCACTTGCCAACCATGTAACCCATCGTTAATCAATTCCAGTCTCTTCCATCGATTAACATATCTAGGAAATTGCCTTATTGATGTAGTATTCGTGGTTTTACTTTTAATTTCCTCTCCCCTTACAGTTACTTCACCAGATATCTCTTCTTATCAGTATATATGGACAAATGTAACTTCATTTTTCAACAAATTTCTATATATTGATCACACCTTGCCTATTATCTCACACACTCTACGTTGCTTGCTAAATACTTCCACCTCCACAAACAAGAGCATTTAACACCCGCTATGATGTATTGAATAACTGTGAATGATTGTCACTGCGCCGTGACTGGCACGATAACCCAAAGCTGCGGTGCTCTTATTCCTGCGGCGCAGACGAGCGTGGGCCACATGCAAATGGACACGTGCAACCTGGAGAACGGGCAGGTGCAGGTGAGTGCTCCGGCCACGTGTCACCTGCGCTTCTGTAGCTTCAGCCAGGCCGGCCTTCACCTGCACGCCGTTGCACTGGCCGCTGTGGAAAACTGCGAGTTCTCTGGGAGCGAGGGCGCTTCTTTGACAGTGGAAGGGTTCCCTTCGACCGACCATAACTGGGCCTACGAGCACCTGGCTGCGTCGCTGCGTGCCGACCTGCTGGCGCAGTCCTGTGGCCTGCTGGGAGCGGACACCGCGCTGGACTGGCTGAATCTCGGCTTCGACAAGAAGTCAGAAAGCGCGCAGAGCGACAAAACAGCAGGGTGAGGGTCGAATCATCTTACCCCCTCTCCACTCCTTTTGCCACCGAGGTTCAAGGGAATCTAGGGTTCAGTATGACGTGTATATTGCTTGGAGACTATTGCTACTTATTTAGCGTGCCAAGGTATGTTACGCGTGTCAGTGAAATATTGTACTCTATTTTATACTGCGTAGCATACATTCCTGCAGTGGATCTCCTGGTGTAAGTTAACGTATGTAAAGAAAACGATTGCGCATCGTGCGTTGCGTGTGCCTTGGATGTTCCTGCGCATGCAGGCAGGCAGGAGACGGCACGGGAGCCACGCATCACAGCCAGGGAAGCAAGGCGGTGGGGCGGGTGGGAGGACGCTGCTGGAATGTCAGCCACAAGGGCCAGAACTGTGTGTCAGGGACTGCACATGCGGGCCTTTCAGACTCCATCTCATCAAAGGCCCACCGCCTCTGCAATGGTAAAGCTGCGTAAAAAAAAGCAATGTTCTTTTCAGGCAGGGGTGTGTGTGCGTGCTGGCAGAGGAAACAGATGCAGCTGTGAGAAAAAGTAATTTGTGCTGTTGATGTTTCATATGTTTCTATGTCGTTGAATTTCTTTTGTTCCATACGTAGCAAACCGTGCTGATCGGAGGTGCGGGGGAAGGACAACAAACTAAACACAAAAAGCAGTTCTAAAGAAATGAGTTTTCATTCTAGATGGTTTAAAAATGCATAGCTCCAGTGGCTTCCTAATTTCGGAAGGAAGAGCATTCCAGACGGCCGCAGAAACGTATCTTCCAGTGTGCGATGCAGTGACCGTCTTTGTTCGATGGTGAGCCCAAAGCCGCTGCGAGGATAACCGGAGTTTGCGGGATGGTTTATCAAGGCCACATACAGTGACACCTGCAATATGTGCATCCTGTGTTGTCGAATGAATGTGGCTGTGTTTTTTGCAGCCACGTTCTGGTGATTATTTGTAACATCCCTGGTTTATTGAATGAAATACCCTTACATTTCTGAAAATCCATTAAAATGTAATGATAATAGTGAATAAAAAATTATCCATTAACTCTTGTAAATTTGTAAATATCATCATGCACGGTACCAGGCATGAACCGTGATGGCAACCACCACGGTGACGCGCTGACCCCAGCGGTTAGCGAGGGGGCATTTCTCAAGGACAGCAGTGGCAGAGACACGGAGCAGGAGGAAGACTACAAGGAGTTTGCGCACCTACTCACGAGGTCACGACAACACTCTGATGCCCTTCGTTACATTCTTGCAAAATAAACTTTTTACTCTGATTCTGTTTGTTAGAAACAAAAGTTTCGACGAACTGTTCCATACTTTTTTCATAATATCCGTAACACGTGAAAACTATTCAAACAATCTGAGTTTTGTTCAAAAATGTAAAAAAAAATTGGTATAATTCCCGGTAAAAATTGACATTATGCTACCTCAGTAAAGTTAAAATGCACTGCTGTGTTCTTATTGGCTGCCCATATTGTGTTGTACGGGTGCTCCTGTCCTTACCACCGTGATAGACTTACACAATTTGCTTCAGTAAATAAATTGCAGGAAACGTGACTTTACTGCAACATTTTACTGCCGGCGCTGAATGACTCCCAAATTTCACGAGTGACTGAACAGCGGGGGCTTAAGAGTGTCTTGATGCTTTGGGTGTGCGCGTGTGCCGTGCGCAGATTGCCGGTGGGGAGCCTAATGACGGGGGCAGGGGCCTCGCTGAGCATGGAGGAGGTAGGCCCTCGGAGCCTGGAGGAGGAGCTGCGCACGGAGAAGGAAGCCCGCCTGTTGGTGCGTCTAATCTTGGGCTGCGTGGTGCAGCGCTGCCTCTTCCGGGATGGGCGAGGAGGCGTGCTGTCCTCCACACATGCCCATGTGCGTCTCCAACACAACACCTTTCGCCACCTCCACCAAGCTATCCGCTGCCTGCAGGATGCCAAGGTTGGTTGTTACATGGCTGGAGCATCGCTTCTTTATGCAACTTACCGCAGGGAAAGACTGGGAATCCATCGCTAACATTTCGGGGCCTCTTATAATATTGAAGGAATACCAATTCTAAGCAACAAAAATAATAATCCCAGAAATGCTCTATTTTCACACAGAGAAAATCTGAAAAAATACTTGGAATTCCTGTAAGAAAGGCCTGAGCTGTCATCCTAATGACAGCTACTCCGATGAGCACGGTTGGCTCCATAAGGTGCGAAAGAAGTTCAACATACACACTAATGTGGTCTCTTGGAGTGCTTCCCAAAGGTGGAGGGACTACTTTTACAAAAATGGAAAAGTCCGCGCTTTGGGACCAGGCTTCGTGCCTCCTGATTGCAATCTGCTGCAAATGGGATTCTGAACATTCGCTTTCATGTGAAAATCTTTGTCATATTCAATTACCATATAAGAGCCATTTCAAACGGAGTCGGGATATAACAGAAAATAGAATACCTTAATGTGATGTTAACATTTTTACCATCAAATCCATATTTAACTTAAAAGTAATTATATAAATCTAAATTTATAAAGCAACATTTTAAACGTACAGAATATTAGTTTGAATATGTGGTTGCATCTTCGTGCTGTCTGCTGTGCACACCATCTGAATATAACCCACACCGATTCGCTGCTACGCGTGGAGTGATTCCCTGCGTGGTGGTCTCCTGCTGCCGTGTTTGTCCTGTGGGCGCGTTCCACAGGTGCTCGTGTTTCGTAACGAGATCCACCACTGCCGAGCGTCGGGCGTTTTCCTGCGCCTCTCCGCTGGCGGTGTCATTGCGGAGAACGACATCCACTCCAACGGCGAGGCAGCCATCGACATCCGCAAGGCGGCCAACCCCCTCGTACTGGTAGGCACCACCCCTCATGCCCACCTGGCTCCTCAATAACCCAGCTACAAGCGGTCACCCCCACTTGCCGCACTTTCGACGAACGAGCTTCCGTAAGATATTTATTTTTTAACCATCTGACTTGCGAACGTGAATTCGCACTTGCGAACCGAACCGCGGAACTGTTCAAAGTGTTACGTGCAAATGTTCGATATTTCTTCTTATTTGTGAGTTTAACAATGGTTCCATTTTTTGTTGAGCCATAACACATTTATAACGCTGACCGTATGTGCATTTAAATACAGTACATTATTGCAAGGCCGTAGCCATGGAGTCAACATTGGGGGGGACCAAATCTTCCAGGGGGTCTGGGGGTCCCTCCACCAAAAAAAAACATCTAAATTTGAAAACTCATTTCCTGTCATTTCCTGCCTAAAATATTATAAAATTCACTAACACATAGGATGGACTTTTTCTTTATTTTTTACAATAATGTCTAATAGTGTTTTGTATTACATTGCTCTGTTTTTTCTTTTTTACCTTTTCTTGTTTCATTGTATATAATGGCAGAGATTAGGGATTAATAAAGTACAACCATAACCACAATCATATAAACAGAAATCTATTTTATATCAATATATTGGGGGGAACATTTTGAGCATATTTGAATATTGGGGGGGGGGGGGGGGGGGAATGTGTCCTCCCCAATATTTATTATAATTACGGCCTTGCATTATTGTGTTCGACTTACAAATGGGGTCTCAGGAATGGAACCCGTTCGTAATTTGAGGACTGCCCGTACTGCCCGAGTGCCTCCTAAATGGTGCCTGGTCGTGACAGAGCGTTCTTGTGCGAGGCAGTGTAATCGCATCCACGGGGGACAACGCACAGGAATCTTGGTTATGGGTGGTGGCCGGGGCATCATCCGCAGCAACCTCATTTTCAACAATCGCGAGGCAGGGATCTGCATCCTATACCGTGGAAACCCGCTCGTCAGGTGGGGCTGCCACCGCTCTCTCTCTCCTGTCTGGCGTCTCGGCTGGGAAACCGAATTTTGTCTCTTCATGTCTTGCCCTGCCGTCAGCCTGTGTTCTGTGTGCGAGCGCGTTTATTGAAATAGAAGTGTCTTGCTGAGAGTAACTGTCCTTGTTCATTTTCTACATTACCGTTGGCGATTACACGGTACGATCTTTTTAGTTGACAGAGTTGAGAAAATATTTTGTTTATGAAGAAAAATGAGTGTAACATGATAAGTAGGTTTGTGTTTGTCCTAATGGTCAACTGTGTCCACATTGGTCACGTGGACATTTGAGTTGGGAGCAAAATAGATGGAACAAATGCATTAATGTCTTAAGGTTGCTCATGCAACCTTGATGAGGTCGAACATGGAGTGCAAAATCCTAATGAGGCCTCAGGTCACTTATGAAATGCGGTTTTATTCAAGCTTATCGTTAAAAATGCCACCATCTGTAGGATGGGCTGGTACCAGCTTCACTTTAATAAGCTATTGGATAATTAAGACGATACAAATGCAGGTATTTTTGAAGTGTGTTTAGAATTTTATACTTTTAAATTCTTATGCATAGTCTATTCTTAAGTCAATTTAATATACATATTAGCTTTTTTCCTCTTATTTCAAATCCTTGATGATTTGTTTGAATTGCACCTAAAATTATACTTCATTTAAAATGAATGAACAAAATGAAAGTTCTACCCTATAGAATGTTTAATATTTATTTACTTCATTTTGTTTTTCCTGTGATTTGTCCAATTGAACTTGTGTTACATTTGTTTCTTTTTGTGACTCATATTATTATTAGAAAAATAGACTTTTGTGTCAATGGGCTTTTACCTAATTTCGATGCAGGTCATCTATGTACTCTGTGTATAAAAACATATTGGAAACATCCTTTAGAAAAAGAAAATGTTTTGGTCCAGTATGCGATGAAAAGATAAACTTGTGTGTCCTCTTATTACAGCGATTGTGTTTTCTCCTTCAGTGGCAATTACATTTATCAAGGACTGGCAGCTGGGATTGCAGTGAATGAGAATGGACTGGGTCTCATTACAGGTGATGCATCTCCGTATACACCGTCATGTGTTGCGCCATCACAGGTGACATACGAATAATAATTAATCACCACTCACCGCTCCATTGTCTCATCACAGGTAAAGCTCTTCCGCTGTTCTCTTTTCCATCATTACAGGACACTTCACCCTGCCGACAATGGGGAGTACAATGGAAACAATCATTTAGGCCTCATACTTTATTCTTGCTGAGAACTATCACGGTTGAGGCATATCATTTCTGTGTTACTATAAAGGCGGTCCCCACTTTTACGCCATTACAATGCGTTCCTGCAAACCCCGTCGTTGTAAAGCAGATCGTGATAAATCAGACCCTATATTCCCAAAGACAGTAGAAACCTCACTTGATAATGTGTTTTTCCTTTTCTCAGCCAAATTTAGCAGGGTTTAATAGGTAAAAATCTCCAAAAACACGTCAGAGTAACAAAAGCTCCAACTCAAAGTGACTTCGGAATTATGTAAATGTGTAAATTTGGATCATAAATCGTATTGTCGTAAACTCGAGACCGACTGCACAAGCCGTATAGGGCTAGCTTTGAGACAATTTTATTAAACGCCTGAAACATGTTACACCTTGTTACAGATTACATATTACCATGGAAACAGTGCACATATTATTTATAGAAGTAAAAAAGGCATCTGCACAAAATGGTGTTCATCTGTGCTAAGGAGCAACTGTCAAGTTGCAGTTTTCGTCTTTAACCAAGTAAGAACTCAAGAGACCAGGATTGCCTCATATGCAAGATAGTCTCACACTTGAAGACTTCATCTTTCCAGTAATAAAAAAAAACTGATCAATCGATTACAAAAATAAAATGTATTTACATGAACTGACGTTGCATACAATAACCATCAGCCATCCTTCATTTTGATAACGTTTACAATGTTATAGCTATTCTTGGTTCTTTCGGTAAAGTCACGTATAAAAGTCACGTAGAAGGGAAATAATAAAATAAAATAAATATATAAATATAAAATAAATATAAAACTATAAAAATTATCATGACGTTTCGACTGCAACACAAGCAATCATCATCAGGTGTGAAATCTGATGATGATTGCTTGTGTTGCAGTCGAAACGTTGTGAGAATTTTTATTGTTTTATATTTATATTATTTTATTATTTCCCTTCTACGTGACTTTACCGAAAGAACCGAGAACATGAATCCCTGCAGTCACGAAAGCAGCTTTGAATCGAGAATGTGATAGCTATCGGTGCCCTTGCCCACTTTCGTCGTCCCAGGTAAGGTGGCACCTCGAGCAGGGCGCGGACGCACGTGTGCCCCATGCAAGCGAGACAGCGCGGCTGACCGCGCGCACTTCTGCATTGGTAGGTAACCTGATACACGAGAACCAGCATGGCGGCGTGGACATTCGCAGAGGAGGGGACCCGGTCCTCAGAAACAACCTCATCTGCCACAGCGCTTGCGATGGCGTGGTGATTGGGGAGCGAGGCCGGGGACTCATTGAAGGCAACAGCATCTGTGGTGAGTGCACTTCATTCAGCGTCGCATCTGCCAGGCCTGCGGCCCTCTTGAACTCATGAAGCACTTCTCCAGTTTGGTTTTCTGAAATTTGAAATCCCAATCGAGCGCCATCACACATCTCCCATCTTCTTAATTACATTATACTACTATATACAGTGTGAGGCTCTACCTATATACCTCATAAGTATATATATATCATGATTAATCAAATTATTAATACAAATTTATTATTACACTGACAATACTGGCATGAAATCGTGAGTTAAGAATGAGCAACACAGGGCCATATATGTATGGCCTTTTCCCAGTTCATTGTTGTTTCCTCCTTGCACCCCTCCCGCCGCCACCCATCCCCCCCCCCCCCCCCCCCGGCCACCCCCGCTCACCACTCGCTCACGGCCTGGTGAGCCCAGGACCCCTTCAATGCCTGGATATTGAGGCGGAAGACGAGAGGCAACCAGTGGCACATTTGTGTCTGACGGATTCCTCGATGATCCCCATAGCCGGGAAGGACTTCGTGGGGACCTTCTTTGTGGTTCCCACGCTGTCCCAGGGGACGGTTCTTCTGGACCTGGGACGAAACCAGATAATCTCACCGCTAGGCGGCATGTTCCTGCAGTCACGAAAGCTTCGCATCTTATTTTTTCTTAGTTTTCAACTTATGCCATTTTTACTTGTGCCGTATTTACCAGCCACCTGGTCTCCATATTTCGTCCAGGGTGAGCGCCAGGAAGACCGCATGGGGGGACGTGTCAGAATACAACGGGGGGGAGGGGACTTCCACCTCCCTTTCTTCTGTATGGCTGCTGATGCAGATGCAGAGCAACAACTACAATTTCACATTCAGGCGGGAAAGCCAGCAGATGCCTCTGTTGTATTTGTGCATCGGGCATTGCGCTGTCATACGTTGTTACGGTCACCCTGTTCTGGATGACCACAGTTGCACACGAGAAGGTTTTTCATTTTCCATTTGTGTGTCAGTTATCCACATCTGCTATGGTTTGTGCAGTGGATGCGGTTTAGGGTGGACCATGGACTTTGTGGAAGGTCAAACCCATGGGACAACGACAGTGAATAATGGACGTACAAATGAGTCGAAAACAATAATTCTTTAATCAATTTGTAACTAAATGGTGACAAGTCATGGCTTTTGTAGGGCGGAGAGTGGCACTGCATTTAGTATTTGGTTGCCAATAAAAAAAAGCATAATCGTCGAGAGACGGCAGCAGGAGAAAGTTAATATGAAAAACGTGTGACACGTTTAGAACATTAAAGAGCTGGAGAAAGAACTGCAATTAGGTGGTAAAAATAGTGAGGCATTCCGAACCCCGTCAGGTTCTAGGAGTGTAGTATTACTTCCCCACCAGCTGGCAGGCTGACCCTGTCAAACAAGTATGGTGCCCTTCCAATTTAAGCAATAGCACACAGGTTTGGAAACCTTTTTACCGCACACCTGCTTTTCAAAACGAATAATTCGCTTTAGTTTAATGTTGTGAAAAATAAAATGACAATTTTTCCTTTGAAATTCAGCAGCCTACCACTTACATTGACAGGGCTGGAACGTATGCCAACAAAGGTCATACGCCCTGCCCAACCTATTTTAGTATGGGGATACTTTTACGTTTATTGACATGCACAAGCCAGGAGCCTGCCATTTGATTAAGAACATAACTACAACCGGTGTTTGGATATAATGGTGAACCGTTAGCGGACGTGAAACTCCGAAACCTCAAATTTCTTGGCCATGAAACACATTACGGTGACATCAAATGTGCACAGGCTGTACAGAAAAGCTTGAGATGATGTGACCGTATCTCAGGACGCTGTAAACATTGGGGTAAATTGTGAAAGCAAGGGGAACGAGCAATTGGCAAAGTGAATTCATATGCAGTTTGCACATATTTGGCAAGGTACTCGCTCGATAAAACTTCACAAGTGAGAGGGCTGTTGCACTTGTGTCTCGTATTGTGTCCCGTTTGCTGTCCGTCTCGTTTGCATTGTTCTCTTTATTTTGTTGTCTTGATTGTAATGTTTGACGCATTTAAATTTTACATCTCACGTCCCCGATGTCTGACTCGTATATCGTCTAATTTTTAGTGCCTCTCTTATTTGTCACACCCATGAATGTTGTGGGTTTACCCTCCAACACACCGGTAATGTGCTGAAGTAGTAACTAATTGGCACGTTTTGTTTACGCGACAAAACTCACCAATTGGCTGCGTCGGGTGGTGGCGGGTTTAACGACGCGTCTATATATATTCACGAGATCTAACCCAATATTGGTCGCGAAAGCCCGCCACTGCGTGTTCAATTTACCAGCGTGCGTTGCTATGCTGCAGAAAACAAGGGCTGTGGAGTGTGGATCATGGCGTCGGGCACACCCCACGTCCTGGGCAACGTGATCGCGCACAACGGCCTGCACGGGGCCGCCGTCTTCTGCCGCAAGGAAGGTCCCGTGGAGGCGCATGGCGGCCAGGCGATGTACCGCGCCGAAGGGGAGGGCCCGCATGGCGACGACGCGGAGCTGCTGAGCTGGGAAGGGGACGGCGACCCGCTGGAGGAGGCGGAGCGGCGCGGTGGCCACGCGGCCATCACCACCACCATCCTGGAGTACAACAACATGCTCTACAATGCAGGTGCTTCATAACTCTACGTATGTACTGTGTGCAGGGCCGGATTAAGATTTTGTAGGCCCCTGGGCTACAGGTACTGTGAGGCCCCCAGTAATATTTTCAAAAGGAAAACAAAGTTCAAGAAAATTAAATTTATTTTTACAAGGCTAACCACAAATACTAAATTCAGCATTCACAAAGTGAAATAACGTCTCACTTCATTTCTGGAGGCCCTCCAGCTGGCGGAGGCCCCTGGGCTGCAGCCCCTAAAGCCCCCGTGCCTTAATTCGGCCCTGACTGTATGTATGTTGGACTTCTTTTGGGCTGTACGTAGCCAACCGTGCTAGTCGCAGGTGCGTGAAATTTGTATATTTTGTGGAATTCAGAAGTAAATGCAAAAGGCAAGATTTCAATACATTTTGGGTTTTTGTAAGGTAAGCTGAAGCTGCCATGCGTTTTAGATTTGAAGCGCTTGATACAGTAAATCTAGCTGTGACGGTCCCACCTGATGACGGAGACTTGTGTTGCCTCCGAAACGTCGTGATTTATTATTTTATTTCTATTATTATTTCTATTATTGTGTAGTATTTATGTTATTATTTATTTATTTTTTTACTTACGTGACTTTACCGAAAAAAACCTAAGAGTATCTGCCATGCGTTGCACAATTGCGTGTGGCTCGTCGGCACATGGCACCATGAAGGCCACGTTCCTTCGTTGAAAAATCCTGCACCCGATGACTGTCGAGTGTGGGTGGAGGGAGGCCGAGTGATGTGATGGTTGTGTATGTGGACATTGCTGATAGAATGCAGAGGACTACTTTTCGTATTCCACCTCCATTCTCTCAGCCTTGCACAATCAGCATCCACCAACCTCTCCCAAGTGCTGTATTTTCAGATTGTGTCAGAAATAAATTAAAGAATACTAAACACGACCTTTGGTTGATATCACATTTACATTCAAAGATTCAATGACTGCTTTGAAATATGAACTAATTGTTATTGCACGTGCTCTGCCAAGCCTATGTGCTCGTAAATCGGTGTAAAATGTTTACAACGCTGCGTCGCCTCCAGGGGCAGGGGTGTTCGTGAAGAGCAGCGAGTCGCTGACGGTCGCCTGGAACGCGCTGCACTGCAATGAGGAGTGCGGCGTGGCCGTGCACAAGAGCACGGCGCTGGCACGCATCGCCAGCAACAACGTGAGCTGGAACGGCCGCGGGGGCGTCAGCGTGCGGCCCAGCTGCAAGGTGGAGCTGCAGGGCAACGGCGTCTACCACAACACCGGGCACGGCATCGAGTCTTGCGGCGAGGGAAGCCTCATCGAGAACGACGTCGTTACCAGTCGTGGATGTGGCCTGCGCCTGGCCCAGGATGCACGCATGCTGGTGGGCAGTCGCATGCGGTCTTGCCATGGACTTACGTATTGTGGACATTGTTTATCCAGTCACGCGACGTTTTTAAGAGTCGGCAGATTCCTGCCAAGTCTTATTATTATGTTTTATTTTTATTATTTTATTACTTCCCTTCTACGTGACTTTACCGAAAGAACCAAGAAGATGAATCCCTGCAGTCACGAAAGCTTTAAATCAAAATTCCTGCCAAGTGTTTGCAGCATGAAGAGTTGTCGCTTTGTGTAATTCCAGTTGATTAAATTTCGGCGTCGGGATGTTTGGCCAATACCAGTTACATTGCATGTGTTTATTCGGAGGAAACTGGTGAATCCAGCGGAGGTCCATGCAGAACAGGGGAAGAACATACAAACTGACAGCAAGGTGCATGAGCCAGGAATCGAACCCAGAACCACTCTGCCAACCTGTCGCTAAAACTAATGCAATGCAGTGTGGTTTAGAAACAAAAACAATTGAGTATTATTTTAGTTAAATATTCTATTTAGGTCTTGTGGAATGAGGGATTTACGATTTTTTACTATTTTATCTGTGATGGAAATCATCATCCTTCTGATGTTATTCAAATGTGAACCACGTTATGGTTACTCATCCACTTGCCTCAGGGCCACGAAGAAGCCAACAGAGATGAGCAATGAAGCACGCACGAGGAGTCCCCTTCGACTCGCGTGCTACGCCGCGTCGAGCAGCGGGTGCACTGGGCCAGGGGTCGGCAAACCTGCGGCTCCAGAGCCGCGTGCGGCTCTTTGGCTGCTCTCTTGTGGGGCAGCCGGCGGTAAAAAAAAAGGAAAATCTTAAACGTAAATGAACGTAAAAAGTATGTATTCAATGTGGCAGGGAATGGGTCACTATGGAATGTCTTAGTGACTACAGATTTTACAACAAACTGTATTGTTAAAGCATAACTAAAGGGGGGGGGGGAAACTAAAGATGCAGTTTATTCCATCACCTATTTTGTTTATTCCATCACTTATTTTGTTTATTCCATCACCTATTTTGTTTATTCCATCACCTATTTTGTTTATTTAAGTCAGAATTTGTCATCTGTATACCTGCTGCTGTGTTTGCGTACAAGCAGCTCTGCGTGGTAAAAAAAAATGGTTCTTCTTTCAAACGCTGCCAACACCTGCCCTGGACAATGAAGGGCAAATACAAGTTATTGAAACGTCACGTGCAATACTTGCCTCTGGGCCGCGCTCTCTGGATGCTGTCTTTCGCAGGTGCTAAAGAACCGCGTGCTGTCCCTTCACCGCTATGCGATGGCGGTGTTCGAACGCACGCGCGGGACCATCCAGGCCAACCTACTCTTCCAGAGCACGGGGTACGAGGCGCTGCACATCGAGCTGAGCAGCGCGGGCGACGTGCTCATCCAGGGCAATGAAATGGTGCCTTTCCCTGCGCCAGGGTGAGCGCTCGCGCGCACGCGTCTCAAGGCAGCATCCCCGCAATGCATGAATCCGCCTGCTTGCTTGGAGACGCCTCGCACGTCAGACCACAGCAAGCTCAACACAGCACCCTCACTTGTATTCTATTAGCAAGCTTCATGGGCCTCCCACCGGTGCTGTCTCACTCCCTGCCCCAGTTTTAATCCAGGCTCAAGCCCACGGTTTCTGTCGAGCGTCTTGACTTTTAGACGCCGTATTGATCCACACCGCGTTGCTGCCGCTGCTGTTCTTGTCCCCCGCGCGTGTGCCCCCCCCCCCCCCCCCCCCCCCCGCGCGTGCAGGTGCGAGCCGGGCTCTCGCTGGGGCCGTCTGGAGGAGCCTCCACCGCGACCGCACTCCCTCTCCTCGAAGCGACCCGGTGGCCCCCGCTCCGTGTCCATGGTGACGCGGCTGGGCGGCGGCGTGAGCCAGGGCTGCTCTGGAGGAGGCAGCAGCGTGTGCACCCTGCTGTAGCCACGGGGGTACGCCGCCGTAGGTCCCCTGTGCGGGTCACGTAGTTGCACACTGTCCATTTGTAACTCGATAATAGAGGGGGCTTTTGTTGGGTTAGATCGCGTGAATATAAATGTGGTGTCGTTAAACCCGCCACCACCCGGCACAGCCAATTAGTAAGGTTTGTCACATAAACACAACGTGCCAATTCGTGACGAGTACAGCAGCACACCGCTTGTGTGTTGGAGAGTAAACCCACAAAATTTACAATTCTATTTGTAACAGCTTCTGTACGTGATGGTGTAAGGTAGCGTAAGCAGTGCTACTTTGGTGTAGCTTTACTCGGCAAGCGATTGTCCCCGCAGGTGATTGGTCATATTTGAGATTCAGATTTTTTTTAATAATCGGGTTTTTAAAATTTTATTTTTTAAATAATTTTTACCATTTAATTTCTTGTTGCATCTCCTTTGTACAGTTTTGTTTACTCCGTTACCTCGAAGGTAAAATGAATGTATAATTTGTATATAATTTACATAAATTGCAATCAGGTGTGATACACATGTAATGTGAGTATAAGAATCGATTTGATTGAATCAATCGTCATGTTGCAAATGTTGACACGTTGCAACATAGAATGAACTCTTGTGTCTGTATTGCAATAGTTGCGTAACATTACGTTTTCAGCAAATCACAATACAAAATATATTTATTGTTGTGTACCAAGAAATACCTAAGGATGCGATTCCACTCAACCCACACTTTTGGCCTTCTTACTCACGTGGCACCCGGTTAATCACAGCGGCCGTCAACACACTCGGTAGTGGTGAAGTCTTGATCACAGTTCAGCACCAGCACATGGGAATTTGAGTTGTTTGGCGGGTGGCAGCTCCCACCCCGTCTCCTGGGGAGGGCCACGGAGTTTCTTGGCGGTGACCCAGAGCTCCGTTTGGTGCCCTTACGTGTGGCTTAGCGTGCGAAGGTGTCGTCTTGTGGACAGTGCCGGATTAAGCTGATGCAGGGCCTGTAGCATGTTATAAAACGGGCCCTAAATAAAAAAACACGTAAATATTAAAATACCAATTTTTAACATGTATAGTAAAATAATTGTATTTTTTTATTTGCTATACAACCAGATACAACAAATCGCTAACCGTAAACACTCAGCATAGTACTATAGTAATAGAGCAAGTACAGAATCACTGAAACGGAATTGATAGCTTGAAAGCATTTAGCGCGGGGCTCTTTAAAGTGCAGGGCCTGTAGCATGTATAGCTACTTTGCTACTCGGATAACCCGGCACTGCTTGCAGACGCAGACATTCTCGTCTCGCCGGAAGAACCCGATGGAGCTGCAAGGCTGTGCTTCACAGGTGTCCAACCCAGGCTGGGGGTGGCAATGGATGGAAATCGCAGAGAAAATTACAAAAGCTGGCGGAATTCCTTCCACCAGATAATCGTTCCGCTCAGTCTTGGCTTACTCAAATCCCACATGCCGTTTTTTTTATTTTACTTGGTGGAGTGCTGCAATCACGAGCCTGCGTGCTATTTCGGTTTTATTTATTTTAATTAATCATTTAATTCAGTTTTTAGCCCTGTACAGCACTTTGCGACTTCCGGGTGAAATCTGTTTTAAGAGTGTAAAGTATTTTTTTCCTAGATAAATTAAACCATCATAAACAGAATAATATTGGCAAAGGTAAAACAGGACGTCTCTTTGGGGCAACTCGTCTCGGCCCGGGTGATTGTGGGTGTTCTCCACGGCGCGTGCGGCCCCAGCACAGCCGTCCTAGCGGAAAGGAACTGGCGTTGTGCGGCTGCCGGCCTTCGATCGTCTACCGGGGAGCTAAGGAGGCGCTCAGGACTCGCCGATCTGGAGCTTGTCGAAGGCCAAATGTGTGAAGAAAGAATGTCAGCCTGCTGAAGCTGACACAAATAGACATTCTAAAAAAAGCACGAAGAATTAGGTAACGTAACTTTCATATATTTTCCTCATTTTAAATCATACATTTAATCCTAGCACACCACTGCCAGAATTTTTATTTATTTATTCCAAAGAAAGGACAATGCTCCAATCGACTCCCGCCTACGTGCGTTACAAACACAACCCGAGCTCGCTCTCCGCTTCACAGCCGATGTTAGAGCGGCGCGTTATGAAATCCACGTGACTACCGTCACAAGCAACATAAATATTAAAAGAGTTTCACTGTTTAACTTCATGTTTAGGATGGTATTTGGGAGGATTGTGGGTACATCGACTTAGTTTTATAAATGGCAACACGTTAAAAATGAATTTTTTTAAGTGTGCTGTTTGTGGCACAATTGGGCAAAAAATAAAACATTTTTACATTCCGCCTCGTGAAATATTGCAACCGTAAAAACATCCTACACTGCTTTGTGTCGAGTTTATTGTACTTACCCCACATCTGCGATCATCACGGTTGACTACGTGTGGTGCGGAAGACGTTCAACATGCATACATATGTAGTGTCAGTGATTCGGAGACCAGGGTTTCCAGGAGGCACCTTATTTATTAACACCTTCACACTTCACAGGTTCGTCCTCGCACTCTCCCTAGTCGTCTAGCCTAGCCAAAACACAAACCTGACCGTGTAACACTGATGGCGCTGACCGAGACAGCCAACAACTGTCCGGCCGTTCAATATCTCGCGAAGACAGCAGCGACGAAGACGGCGACCGGTAGCCCTGAGCTCCCGCTCTCAGTTGCTTTTATGCTCCCGGCGCGGCCTGGCTCCGTCCTGGCCGCGCCACCCCCACGCGGCAGCCCTGCGCTGCGCTCACGCCGGGCACCCTGTCTCCCCACGCACACGCGCCACACACAGACGCGCCACACACACACGCGCCACACGCACACGCGCCACACGCAGACGCGCCACGCACAGACGCGCCACACGCACACGCGCCACGCACAGACGCGCCACACGCACACGCGCCACACGCACACGCGCCACGCACAGACGCGCCACACGCACACGCGCCACACACACACGCGCCACGCACAGACGCGCCACGCGCACACGCGCAGACGCGCCACGCACAGACGCGCCACACACAGATGCGCCACACGCACACGCGCCACGCACAGACGCGCCACGCGCACACGCGCCACACACAGACGCGCCACACGCACACGCGCCACGCACAGACGCGCCACACGCACACGCGCCACGCGCAGACGCGCCACACGCAGACGCGCCACACGCACACGCGCCACGCACAGACGCGCCACACGCACACGCGCCACGCGCACACGCGCCACGCACAGACGCGCCACGCGCACACGCGCCACGCACAGACGCGCCACACGCACACGCGCCACACGCACACGCGCCACGCACAGACGCGCCACACGCACACGCGCCACGCACAGACGCGCCACACGCACACGCGCCACACACAGACGCGCCACGCGCACACGCGCCACGCACAGACGCGCCACACACAGACGCGCCACACGCACAGACGCGCCACGCGCACACGCGCCACGCGCAGACGCGCCACACGCAGACGCGCCACACGCACAGACGCGCCACACACAGACGCGCCACGCGCAGACGCGCCACGCACACACGCGAGAAGAGAGAAGACTTGCCCAATCACTGTCTCGCAGCACAGCACTCGCTGGCATCGCGCGGATGCTGTGAGCGGCTTGAAGAGGCAGGACGGCAGGCAGCGAGTGGGTCGTGATGACCCGTAGGTTGAAGACAAATGCCCCAATCGTCCCGGGGCTCCCACCTTGATACTCTCAACTTCAAAGGCACAGGGGGCGTCGCGTCACGCAGCCAATCACCTTTCGATTTACAACTGATGCCCCGCCCTCACCTGGAGCGTCCGTTACGCCCCCACCCATTGTCCCTTGCTCAGGGTTCCTTGCTCCCCTCATTGTTTTCCCGTGCCCAGTAGTTCGCGTCTTAGGGTCTGCTCTTTGTCTAATATTCCACCCTCCGTCCTCCCCCCAATGTTGTGTATAATTCATTGTGGTTGGCCCAGGGAACATTTTCTTTTTGCGCCCATACAATTTTAAGCCAATTTAGGGGCACCGCAATGTAACCTGTCCTGTGAGGGTCGGCCAATCTCCTGGCACCGGGAAACCGTGGGACTCTCCCCCTTGGGGACCTTCGGATTAAAACCTGATGTGCCAGGCAACCCCCCGCCAGGACACTACGTGGGTGCGCTGCGTGCGGGTGGCGTGTTTAGTGCGGGGGCCATGAGGGAGTCGCGGCGCTTGCGGAGTTGTTCCGCAGTCGTGGCACCACACATTCACTAACACGGCCACCATTAGCTGTGTTAGTAAATGGCGGCTTGCCATCCTTTTCCACCTCCATGTGGCGATGGCTGTTTCCTAGCTCGCTCTGTGCTTATATTTACAAGCATCTCTAAACCTTTGTAAACAGCTCTTTGATTGGGGTAGACCTACTGACGGTTTCGGAGACCTCTCTTACATTAACATTAGCTGCCCCGCCCATCTCTAAACCTTTATAAACAGCCTGCCTCAGCAGCTTTCCCCTCTTTTTTCACCTGATGACGATTACTTGTGTTGCGATCGAAACGTCGTGATGTTATTTCTATCTATGTGGCTTTACCGAAAGACTCAAAGATCATTAATTCTTGCAGTCACGAAAGCTTTTATGTAGGGTATATTTTGATTCCTCACTCCACGCACCTGACCCAACGCACAAGGCCTTCTGACACTGGCGGTGGCTCATAAGTCCAGGTTGAGGAGGCTACAAAACAGTGCCGGATTATCCAAGGAGCAAAAGTAGCATATGCTATGGGCCCCGCACTTTCAAGGGCCCCGCGCTAAATGCTTTCAAGCTATCAATTCCGGTTCAGTGATTCTGCACTTGTTCTATTACTATAGTACTATGCTGCCTTCAACTTTTACGAGTGACTGGGTGTTTAAGGTTAGCGATTTGTCGTATTAATCATCTGGCTGTATAGAAAATTAAAAATACAATTACCTTACTCTGGAAGTAAAAAAATTAGTGTTTTAATATTTACGTGTTTTTAATTATTATTTAGGGCTCCTTTATAACATATGCTGCAGGCCCCGCACTAGCTTAAGCCGGCACTGCTAAAAACCGTGTTGGTCTTTTCAATTGGAGGTGACTTGTAAATGTACAGAGTAACTGGCAGTGGCGGCAGTGGCTTCGTGTCGGTACTTTCTCCACGGAAGCCATGCTTGTTGTCGACTTTGAAACCGGCACTTTTCCATGAACACATTTTCTAGATTGAAAATACCAAGGTTGAGCTTCATGTTTCATCAATCTGAGTCTACGATTTGGCACATAGACCAATACTGCACTCACATTTTTTAAATTTTATTTGGACATCTTATAATCAAGATATCAAATTAAGATTTGCAGAAATTATAATACGTGTATCTTTACTCTCTGGTTCTTTCGGTAAAGTCACGTAGATATAAAAATAATCGACGTTTCAGTCGCAACACAAGCGTCCATCACTAGGTGAGAAATAATGATCTGCTGTTGTGGCTTTTTATAGGCACGGGGGGGGGGGGGGGTGCAGCGTGCAGGGATGGGTGGGGGCTGGATAAATTGGCATGTCCATGAGCTTGAATTAGTAACCGAAAACAGCACGGGTGTAAGAGTGAGAGTCACAGCAGTTTAAACTTGACGTGGTTTATCACGTCCTTCCAATGATTTCTCAATCTGAATCCATCTTCTCGATTAAAGCTTTGTCTGTGTTTGTATATCTGGATGGCTTCATGAACAAATCTCTGATGGTAGCCCGAGGGTTTGCAGAGCACCTTGGTCTCGGAGAAAATAATGTCATGTGTGCCCACAGCATTGAAACAATGATCCGCCACCGACGAGGTGTTGGTTCTACCGTGTTTCAAATCCGCTTTGTGTTCGCGAACCCGGTCTGAGACATGTCGCTTCGTTTCACCAATGTAACTGCTGCCGCAGACACAACTCAGCTTATAGACACCACGACATTGCATGTCCGGAATCGCATCTTTCACCGATGGGATCAAATCAGGGATTTTGGGTACTGTATTAAACCGAACTTGGATCTTGTGTTTGTTCAAGATTTTGGAAATCCTTTTGGTGACCCCTGCTATGTATGGCAAGGTGATGCTTTGATTGGGTCCTCAGATGGTTCTCTACCCATGGTTGGGGATGCAGCTTTGTGGATTGTGCGGTCAGAATATCCATTCCTCCTGAGAGCCTGGCATACGTGCTCAAGCACACTGGCTAAGTGGTGCTGGTTGGAGATGCAACGAGCCCTATGGTGTAGTGTTTTCAAGAGGGTATTCTTCTGGGCTGGCTGGATGGTGGTGGGAATCAGGCTTTAGATAGGAATCCGTGTGGGTGGCTTTCCTGTAGCCAGTGTCCCAACGAGCCATCAGGTCTCTTCCAGATCAAAACATTCAGGAATGGTAGCTTGCCATCATTTTCCACTTCAACGGTGAATACGTGTATCTTTCCTGACAATTTTACAGAAACTTTCTATTTTACCAGGTAAGGCCCACTGACCTATATAACTCTTTTTAAGAAGCAACCTGGCCACAAATGACAGCTCAACGCATGGAAATTTCTAGCAGGCAAATACTCGAAACGCATGTTAATTCTAAAATGCGAAGGGAAAAACTGGAAGATCAGGAGAAAAATCCACGCGACCATAGGGGGAACAGGCAAACTCCAAATATACAGGCGTCCGGGTCGGGATTGAACCCACGACCTCCTGTATATCAGGTGAGGTCGTTAACATCTCGCCACCGTGGCACCCCAAAGCCATGAATGAGAATGTTGCCCCAAGTTGAACGAGTGTTTCGCCACCCTGCCTCTAGCCTCGCCTACAGCGAGAAAACCTCGAGATCCAGCACGATGGCGGATAAAATTAATGTTTGCACAACTCATCGGTCACGTGGAGGTGAAGCGGGGCTTGGAAAATGCCGAGGTGGCGCGGCAACACAACGGGGAGCGCGTCCCCTGCAAACACCCCCCCCCCCCCAACACGCCTGCTTGTACAGGGACACGGCGGAGCGTTGTGCAGCCACAGGCCACTTTGCACGAAACACGACAGCGATATCGACGGATGAGTTACAATACTTTTATTTTACATTGAGGATAATCGGGGGAGGCGTGGGCAGAAAACCTTTTTTTGTAAAAACGAGACGCTACAGTCATCTGCCTATGAAAAAAAAATCTGCTTTCAAATATTCACATCTTCAAAAAAAAACACAAATTGAAAATTTTAAAGCCTAACTTTTAGAAACAAAAAATATCTTAAGGAAATGTCGATTCACATTTGTCACAATTAGGAAGAACGCAGGAAGAGGCTCGGAGGAGGTGAGTGGTGGGTGAGTGTGTGGGTGTGGTGGGGGAGTGGTGGGCGAGTGGTGGGTGAGTGTTGGGTGAGTGTGTGTGAGACGGGGCCCCGGCCACGCGGGGGGGGGGGGGGGGGTGTGGGGGCATCGCAGGCCCCTCACGGCGGAAGCTTAAATACGATGAGTGGTTTCACGTTAAGAATAATAAAACCTGCATAAAATTACAACGAACAAATCCCTAACCCTCGATACGAACATCACTTTTGTTGTTGTTTATTGAAAGGGTGAGTGGAGCTCGTGTAAAAAGAAAACGTACAAATAAAAAATGTATAAAAACGCCACCACGCTCTCGATCCCCTCGTACGGACACAGTGCTGGGGACGAGAGCTCGTACCGACGACTCCACGGCCGGGCAGTGCGAGCCTCGTCGCGGGCAGCCCCCCACCCGTGCCCCCCCCCCCCCACAGCCACAGCTTTATTGCTCCACTCCTCTCGTTGGGTGATGCATGTTCACACAAACTCCGAACGCTAGTACAGCTAATGTCCAAGGGTTGTCATTGGGAAGTTGTTTAAATTACATTTACCCATTACCGGTGCATTGCTCTTTGGGAATGTATGAAAATTAAAAAACCGTGTTTTCAATTTTAACGTTGCTTCTCGATGAGCAGCTAACTAATACAAAGAACAGCGACTAAAACAAAACACACAACTGAAAGGATGAACTGAAAACCGCGACCGTCAGAGTCTACACCACCGCTTGCAATGTCGATTAATGCTGCGATTATTGCGTTGTGGTCTTACATAAGGTACAGACGATAGGAACTGATGGGACGTCTTTTCCAAAGATTAGGAAACATAAGAATGGGAGTAAAAATGTCAACAAGTTAATTATTGTTCCCAATGCTTCAGGCTTGAAAAAGGTTGCATTCATATTTGTCATTTCTGCAAGAAACGCAAATAAAAATAAATATATGGCATTGCTGAATCTGGTTACGTCACACGAGCACAACAACAGCATCTGAAGGAAATTGATTGGTATGGAATTTGACCTGCCATCATTGTCGGACTCACAGTTGAATCAGCATTACCAGCTTGTAGAGAGGTTTAGGAACCCAAATTCAACATCCGTGAACAGTCCCATTCCAAAAAAAGCCCATGTATTTCGTTGGTGAAAATCACACGCTTGCATGTGACCATTTGGCGTCATCTCAATAGCTCAGTGTCCACATCCGCCCCTTCAAATGTTGCACTCACAATGACCCCGTTAAGGAAATGGGACAATCAGATCCAATGAGAATTACTATAAAACCTGAACGGAGGAAACGACCATCTCAAAAGCTACTTAACAAGTCACTGACGCTTCGAGGCGGCTGTGGGTGGAGGATTGCAGCCCTCACATGCACACCAACGTCGCTTTAGATGGGCAGCTAAGCTGGCTGTGTTTTTAATTGTGTAATTATAGGACCGTTGCCAATTTTGTACGAGAACGATCATTGTGTAGATATCAGCTCGCCTGTCAGAGGGTTCTCACACCTCTGTGTTTCCTGTTTGAAAAGCTGGGCACAAAGCTTGCATTTCACGGAAAATTAGACATGGGCAGAATACTTGTTTTGGTTTAGAGGATCCTCACTTGATTTTTACGGACGTGAAAAGGGGGCTAACAACCACTTCGAACGCAGATCCCAGTTCTTGTGTTGGCAATGTAAAATGTGACCGCGTCAGAGTTGAGATCGTGGCGCTGGACTCGAATCGCAGCGCGAACGATTTACCCCGCTGCGACGCATCAATGACCACCCGGACATCATCACGCAAGGAGCCCCCCCCCCCCCCCCCACCTCTTCGTGTCGCACGCAAACTCGTAATCAGGATGCCCGATGCACGGGCCATCGAGCGGCGAGCTGGCGCTGCGTCAGGAGGAGGTTGAGCGGCTAAACTCGGAAAGCCGCGCGGCCGTCGTCTTTGTTGCAGGAGGCCCAACGGACCACGGTGGGGTGGGGGGGGCCACGGCGTTCCGACCGAGACTCGGACTCGTCGCACCCCAATCCCGCACGACCGCGGCGGCTCACACCGCCGAGCCCACGGCCCTTCATCAGCAATGTCACTTTGAATTACTTTTGGAATAACATAACTGTACCAAATGTGAAGGAAATGCGTGGGACTCTTCATCCTACGACAATAAAGTGATTAGACTCGCATCCACGACGTTCCTATCGATCGAGTATAAGAATGGCGCTTGCAGTTTTATCATCAAGCTTTATCCTCGGGTTTCTGACCATTCCGATGGCAGCAACCAATCCGCGTCGTGCAGTTTGGTAACCGCATGGATGTTGTGCTTCCCACCATGCACCCACGGTTCCCGACGTAGCTTGCAAAAGACTTGTGCGCTGTGTCGATTGTGAAAGGTTTGGACTACATTCATTGGTACGATGTGCCGACTGAAAAACCCCCCTTTCATCCGGGTCGGGCTCCATTCCAACGCGGCCACGAGAGTTGAGGAGAGGGGTGTACGGGAGAGGCTGGTGTATCAAACGTTGCACCGGGGGGCTTGCGTGGGGAGGGATATTGTGCAGGCTTCGCACACGAAGCATCAATGCAACGCTGTGACATTTACAGGGTGCGATGGGAGATGGACCGCGTTACTGCGAGGCAATGGGGTGGAGGTGGTGTTACGAGGGTGACACTTGGCGCCGTGCGGTGTGCGTGTGTATGCACACGTGTGAGACACGCCCCTCCCTCCCCGTACAGCAATTCAAAGCCACCCACCTTGACCACTCGCTGAGCAGGAACACCGAGCCTGCATGTTCCAGTACACGTGTTTGGGCAATGTTTCCAGAAATGATGAAAATATTAAATTAGTTTCCCAATGGATTTGCTGTGGCGACGTATAGAATGCAACACCCTAATGCTGGTGCGGTAGCACGCGTGCGTGCCGTCACGGCGACAGACAAATCTGTGAGATGTGGGATAGAGCAGCACCACTCTTCCTGAGGGCCCAGATCAGATATGGTAACACCACCAGATTGACCGATTAATATTGATTTAAAATGTTTACCATTTAAACAAAAAACTGCAAAAGTTAACGTTGTTTCAAGCACGAACGAGATTTTCAATGAACTGAATTTGGCCACTTGGCCACGCCTGAACTGGGCTCGCTGGAAAAGTGCGTTTGGCCTCCTCTGCCAATCGCAGCCCTTGGGGTTGGTTTGCAAAGCACGAGCGTCGCGGCGTCACCACACCGCCGCCGCACGCGCAATCACACCACGGTGTGCTGCTTGCCGTCGCCGCCGCCGCCGCCGCTCGCCATGTCCGGGATGTAGACGTCGCCCAGCCGCACCTCGGCCAGGCTCTCGTAGTCCTCGGGGTCGGGCGCGTCATCGCGCGGCTCGGAGCAGGCGGACACGTCCGAGAAGGACGTGCGAGCGGGCGGGCACGGTCGGAAGCGCTCGGGGCCCGGGCGGCACGGCGCGCCTCCGGCGTCCCCGCGCGCCGGCCGCCGCGCCGGGGCACGGGCGGCGGGGCGCGCCCCGCTGTCCGTGCGCGGGGGCGGCGCCACGGCCGCCCTCCCCCCGCCGCCGTAGCCGCAGTAGGGACGCGTGGGCCACGAGCCGGGGTAGGCGGGGTCGAAGGCCGGCGCCGCCCCGCCCGGCGGAGGCCGGTACGGCCACGAGCCGCCGCCCGCGGCCGGCCCGCCGGGCAGGCGGTAGCTGGGGGGCGGCGGGGGGGGCAGGCTGCCCGTGTGCTCCGGGTAGTCGTCCTCCTCCGGCGGGGGAGGGTAGTCGCTGTCGATGTCGTAACCGCCCGCGTAGTAGTCGTGCTCCAGCGCGTCCTGGCCCGAGTAGCCCGGCAGCTCCGCCGGGTAGTGGCAAATCTCCTCCTCGATGTCCTGCAGCTTGTCTGGGAGCCAATCGGATGTGTCCCAGTGGTAACCTGCATCACACGGGAGGGCGCAAGCGGGTGGCACGGACGCGGTCAAGGCCACGGCGACGTGTTTCGGCACCCGCACAGCGCAGTCACGAAATGCGCTTGGAGGCGCTGCTGTCATCATCGTCATTCATCATCATCCATAATCGTCATCCATCACCATCCATCATCATCGTCATCCATCACCATCCATCGTCATCATCATCCTTCACCATCCACCATCATCGTCATCATCATCCATCACCATCCATCATCATCATCATCCATCACCATCCATCATCATCGTCATCATCATCATCCATCACCATCCATCATCATCATCATCCTTCACCATCCATCATCATCGTCATTATCATCATCCATCACCATCCATCATCATCGTCATCATCATCATCCATCACCATCCATCATCATCATCATCCTTCACCATCCATCATCATCATCATCCTTCACCATCCACCATCATCATCATCCTTCACCATCCACCATCATCCTTCACCATCCATCATCATCATCATCCTTCACCATCCACCATCATCATCATCCATCACCATCCACCATCATCCTTCACCATCCATCATCATCATCATCCTTCACCCTCCATCATCATCATCATCCTTCACCATCCACCATCATCCATCACCATCCATCATCATCGTCATCCATCACCATCCACCATCATCATCATCCATCACCATCCACCATCATCATCATCATCATCCATCACCATCCATCATCTCCACCTCTCGGTCACGGCCAGCGATGAAAACGTTTGCCAAGGCCCCTCTCGTCTCATCACGGCCCCAGAGACGTCCCCTTCCTCACCACTGCAACCTAAATTAGTTCATGTTGATGTCTATATTTCTTCACCATTTGCCAATGTAGCCGATTTTATGATATGTAGCTTTTGTTCTAGTACACCTTGACTAATCGTCCACGTTCACGGCCGCACACACCACGGTTAACCAAACTTGCCTGTATTTGTACCTCGCCATATTGCAAGTGTAAGCGGTCATTGATTACTGCCCGCAACACAATTGGCCAAAGCTAGCCAGGGTCCTTGGGGCACGCGAGCGAGGGGAAGGAGGTTTGCAAAGTGGATCAGGGTTTGCGAGTGTGGGCCCCGAGCGATGGGGCTGAAGAGTAGAAGCGAGAGGAAGCGAGAGGAAGCCGGAGGTCACCTGGAGCTGCCTGGAGACCTGGGGCTGTGGCACGAGGCCGGCCGGCGTGCGGGAGGGACACACGCACACCGTCAGTGCACCGCATCAACCCGCGGGGGGGGGGGGGGGGCAGCGTCGCCCAACAAACGCACGCGCGCACGCGGCCAGCCAAGCACGGGTAAGAACACACGGCCACAGCAGCCATGGCACCACGCACGCACGAGCACAGCAAGAACGCACGGCACCACGCACGAGCACAGCAAGAACGCACGGCACCACGCACGCACGGCACAACAAGATCGCACGGTAACAGCAGCCACGACCAGCGCCCGGCCTCTCTAAAAAAAGCAACATTTAATTCAATAAGCCGAGATCGTTTCAACAAGCCTTTAATAACTGGCCTACTCAATATCATGCCAAAATGTAAATTATACTTTTGCTTTGTGCGGCGGGCCTTGGGGCTAAGGCATGTTTTCCATCAGTTTATAAATTAGGTAATTAATGCTCTGGAAAAAAAAAATGTTTAACAGCTCTGTTCTGCTGTCAAGTTTGGAATAAAGCAGACATATTTGACCCAAATTGTGTCCCCAGGTGACACATAAGAGCACAAGTTATGGGCTTGGGATCCAGAATCAGCCTCGTTGCTTTAATGTCTGCAAAACATCCACCAGTGGCTCCTTCACTGACAAAAAGGGCCTCTGTATGCCTCCAATGTGGAGGCCAGCTTTTCCAGCGAGTACCGTTACAGCGGGCTCTTAGAGCGGTCATTGTTTTCTACGGTGACAGAAATTCAAGAGGCCGATACGCTGATTTATAGCAGACGTTCACGAGCACCGCGCGCGTGCCAGCAGCGAGTCCTGGCCCGAGAGGCAGCAGCGAGCCCAGCGACAACAAAACGGCATCTCCCCGCTCAACAAAGCCACAAATGAGAAGGCATGCACCGTGTTGCAGCAGCGTCGCTGCATCAGTGCAATGCGCCTGCACTGTGGCGTACGCACCAATAACAAGTTACACTTAAAATGAGTGCCTTGGCACCCCTGTGGCCAGTGGCTTGGCAGAATTTGGCTTTCGCAGCCGTGAATCGGTGAAAGGGTGAAACTGCTCACAGTGAAGGATAAAGCAGCGCCCACGGCAGATGGGAAGAGGATATCAAATGACGAGCATGCACACTCCGTTGCGTACACACACACGAGAAACTCGCCAATGATACGGACACTAACAGTGCACTGACCAACGCGCTAAGAGCATGTCCGTACACTCAGCATGCATATAATCATAACAATAACTTAAACTTTTAATGCACCACAGAGTTACTCACTCACTCTCGTAGAGAGAGGACGACTCCGTGTTGCCACATCACGAGCCGGTGCCAACAACTCTCTCTACAGTCCCCTACTTACTAAGTTGTTATCAATCAATTAGTACTCATTAATTAGCGAGCATACGACACTAAACAAACACACGTACACACACATACACGTGCCTAGAACAGAACAAATAACATCCACGAATAAGGGTCACATACACAACCAACACACCACAGCGCACGTGCAGCCAGGCACGCTTGTGTGTGCGCACACTCGCTGCACGCACTCACTCTCTCACGGACACGCACACAGACAAACGCCTCACCACACAGCCAGACTGCGCTGCCTGCCGGCACTCATGGAGGCTTGTACGGCAGGCGAGCGCGCGGTGTAGCCAGCACCACACACCACAACAGCCACTCATTAAAGGCCGAGGCGACCTAGAGGAGGTCAGGACGGGTTGAGACACCACTTGCCAACTACGTTATCCGTGGCTGGGAATCAAATCCTCATTGCGGGAATCGTAGCTCACTCCGCACCACGAGAGGTGGCGGCGGCGGTGGTGGTGGAGGCCTCTCCCTCTGTGCCAGGCTCGGTGCAACCTGAGACCCTGGGGAGTGGCGAAGGGGCTCACCGTCACGAGATGGGAGAGGCCCGAGCGTTTAGCGCGACACACTGGGGGAGGAAGTGCGAGTTGGCACAGTGGTCAGAAGGCGATGCAGTCATTGTAGCGCACAGAGCCAATGCTGAGCTCTGCGGTCATCAAGCGGCCCTTGCACGTCACACATCGGTCTAGAGCAGTGGCTCTCAGAGTGTGGTCCCCCAGACCTCCAAGTGGTCCGTGGGGCTGTGAAATAATGACAATGTTTTTCATTTTTGTTTCGGACTTTCATTATGTCATTTTAAAATGAACTAAGATAAAATATCTTAATTAAACTACCCTAACCCTAAGATCTAAATGCCACACCGTAAAAAAAAAACTCATAGCTGTGTAAAAGAAAACGTTTTTATGTTCCGGTAATATGAATGATGTCGTACTGCTATTTAGCGAGACAAGCGATTGTGTTTTGTCACCAGGGGTGGGAGGCCGAGTGGTCCTCGGGCCAAACGAGTTTGAGAAACACTGCTCTAGACAAACACACACACTGCCACTGTGCACACAAAGTGCCATTCACAGGCCCGATCCTGCTCCACGCTCTGCCCCACCGAAGTTAAACGGTGCAAATTTCCTGCACGTGTTGTTTCTTGCACTGTTCAAAATGTCCCACGTCCTACGCTCAAGAAAGCAACTCTCTCTTGCTTCAGCTCTGCAACACAGGAGGAATTTGCCGAGGTCGGATGGCCCACGTCCGTGTATAAAATGCGCTCGCGAGTCTTGTCACTGGAAGAGTGCTGACGGGCGACCGTCAGAAATGACGAGGGAGTGACAGCCGAGGAATGGGGACGCATCTGAGAGGACGTCTACCGTGGTGATGCAGCGGTGAAATCAGCTCGTGAGCAGGTAAGCCCCACTGAGCTACACAGCTCTCTTTCAGATGCAAGCCGCCCACAGAGGACAGCCTAACCAAGTGGCACATCGCATGGAATGGAGAGCAGCATCTTATGCCCCGTGGTCACGTGGATTTTTTCTCCAGTTTTTTCCCTTTCATACTTAGAGTCAACACGCATTACAGTAACTCGTGATGTTGATTCTAAGTGCGAAGGTAAAAACTGGAGGGCCCGGAGATAAATCCACGTGACCCTGGGGCGGATCGAACCCACGGCTTCCTGCATTCCATGAGAGGTAGTTAACATCTCGCCACCGTAGCTGCTGGGTGGATTAGTACACCGGAGGACTGTGGGAGATTACGGTGGGGTTCATCTAGCAGTGGACTGATCGTGACTGATAATGATGGTGACGAAAGACAGGTCCGTGCGATTATCTCATAGAAACATTCCCTGACCAGAGGCAGAAAGAAATCGGCCACGTCCAGCCTCGTCGCCTTGATGATCACGTGACACCGTCCAACCAAACTATTGCAGAAACACAGGCGGCCGCGTCGTCACCGGCGACGACGCTGCCGCAAGATAAGTGCACCGTTTAACTTTCCAAGTTCCCCAAAACAGCGTCGCCCGCGGGCGCCAAGCCCAGCAGGGCCCTGTGTGTCTGCGAGCCGCCCTACCGGCACCGCCGCCGCCGCCACGGCTTCGAGCCGGGGCGCACCGCGCGCTCTTGCTGGGTGGGGGTGCAGGGGGAGGAGTCACAGAGGCACGATGAGGCAGCTCCTTGTCACTCTAACAAATACTCTGGTTATCAAAAACGTGGCGTTGCCCCCTTGAGTGTACTCGTGTTCATTTAAAGATTAACGCCCTCAACGTGGCAATTTCTTAGAGTGAACCTACGCAGGCTGGAGTGCGCTCATCGGCGGTAACTTACGGCGCTGAAGATTTCACCTTGTGAGATTTGTGGGAAGATTTAATCCAAACGGCAGCTTTGGGAATCAATGAACAGCGTTAAGACTCCCAACGTTGGGCAATGGTAGAAGAAGCCCCGAGTGACGCGAGGCATCTGAGCAACCCTTCTCGAGCGAGCGTCGCTTGCTCAGAGGCAGCGTGGATGGAGCATGTCCGCGGCACCGGGTAAGGGCGCAGACAACTAACACTCATTTATGAGTGAGCACATACGAGTGCGTTATTAAACAGTCACGGTGCCACGACCCCGAGTTGGGATTTAACGTGCACGTGGGCGGACACGACACGCGCTCCGTTCGAATGAAGACACCCGTGCACAGGGAATGCGCCGTCAGCGGCGGCACGTAGGAATCAGAATATTTCTACTGCAGGAGGAATCCGATGAGCTATAAAGCTCTTTTTCACAGATGTCCAGTTAAAGTGCCCTTGGCACGGGCACCACATGTAGATGCCAAAGTCAGCCTTCGCCGGCTTCAAGCCAGGGCCTCCCTGGGGAGATAAACACGACAGTGCTGCATCTATACCATGGACAGGAGGAATCAATTAATTCGGTTTCACACCACGCGCTCTCTCTCTCTCTCTGACGTAACGACACATCTCACAGCGCAGACGCCCCTATTGGCAGCAGTCTCTGTGCGGCAACAAGGTTACTCGGTGCGACGCTCAGCAAAGGGCGTTCGCCTGTGAAGGAGGGTTGAGTAAAATGTGGGTAATCCATCAACGTTTGCCAATTTGAAACGAAAATAACATTGTACGTTTTTTGAGCTTTTGGGGGAAAACGGGAGAACCTGGAAGGAACCCATTGCAGAACCGGGGGAGAAAATACAAACTCAGAAAGGCATCCAAATCAGGAATAAAATCCATGCCCTTCTTGCTATGAAACGCGATTGTGATCGCCACACCACCCTGTCCGCCATGAGGAGGAATCTTTCATAAAACGCAGCACAACATTGGGAGCACGGCTCACAGCCCCACGGCCTTGATGATGACCTCTCGGAGACACGGAGGAGGCAAGGAGAGCATCATGATTTGCCCTGCCGGAGGTTCAATGACAATCTTTGCAATTCAGGGTTACGATTCGATTCTATTTTAAACATCGCAGCGAATGTAGCCACCTCGAGGAGCTACAGGCGTTGCGTGAACCTGTCCATACGCTACGTGGCGATGTTTAAAGGCGTTGCGTGAACACGCTACGTGGCGATTGCCAACGTTGATTCTTATAGGCAGGAGTGAATGCACGTATTGTGAGCTTACAAACGATGAAGATCCGACGTATCGCTACACCCCTACCTGAGCACATTTCACTCCATTCACTGCCGTACCGCTCACCAGGACTGGCGTTGCGTGGCGAGCAACCAACGCCAGCACGGGTTAAGCGATGGTGCCCCGTTCGCAAACAAGCGGTCGTTCTCCCGACCGGAGCCGATTCCTCAGAATTAAAAATGCCCCCAACATTCGTCGTTGCACCGCGGCTCCAGCGGCCGAATTTGTCCAACGCGACTCCGCTCGCTTTCTACCCCCCCCTGGATCCCGAGCGCCCCCCCCCCTGCACCGACCCGTGCCCCGCCCCCCACGAGGCCCTGGGGCTCCCCCCAGCGCCCTTCGCTGGCGCACGTCGGCCGTGCTCGACGGACGCGCTCGCCGAGACCGCCGCGCGCCAGCCCCCCGCCCCGCCCCCGACGTCCGCGGCACCCACCGTTATCGTCGCACGTGTCGGAGTGCAGCGAGGCGAGCGAGGGGCCCTCGGGCAGCGTGGGGCACGGGTAGGCCGGGTAGCAGGAGGAGCCCAGCTTCTCCTTGCCCAGGCCCAGCTCCCCGTCCACAAGCTTGCCTGCAGAATGAGAGGGGGGGGGACGCGCACACACCCACGCGGTATTTACAACACACCCAGCGGCACACCCATCGTGCAATCCCTTGCACAGTGAACTCGCTCATGTGGTACATACAGCAACGCGCAAAGAGGCGTGTCACAATCATTTGGATAATAACACTGGCAACCAAGTCACGACGTGGTGTGGGAGAGTTGTCTCTGCAGGAGGAGTACAAGCTGGACCCTGCCGAGGGGTTTTCCTCAATCAGCGAGGTCTGGAGAAACCATCGACTCACGAGACCCTTAACTTCGTACCACTTGGAAGGTGGGACCACGATGTTGTGCAAGGGTATTGCAGATAAGATGAGGATCGTGTAATGGTAAGTCAACGTTGTTTGCCCGATGGCAGACCGGCCGTCCGAGAGTGGAATTTCCACCAGCGGCTGAGGAATGCCAATTGACATGAGCGACGGCCGACGCTCGCGATCCGACTCGTCGCAAACGAGCGCAAACCCGCGAAGGCGATTCCACTCGAGGTGCGGGGGGATAAATGCGCGGGCGGGCTACGTACCCTCGCATTCGAACTCCCACATGCTCTTCTGGATGGAGTCGCAGTCGGACGCGGAGTTCGAAGGCGGAGGCGGGGGCAGGTTGGGCGCGACGCTGCACACGGCGACGCCGCGGCGCGCCCGCCCCGCCGAGTCCGGGTTGAACGTCGAGAACTCGGAGGGGTAGTCGGCGCCGCCCTCGTACGAGCCGCGGTCGAGGTTGTTGCGCGAGTCGCTGGGCACGCTGGGCGTATAGGAGATGGGCCGTACGGGCACGGGGGGCGGCTCTTCCTTGCGCTCGCCCGTCGGGGAGCGGCGGCGGCCGCACAGGCACTTGCGCGCCACGACGACGAACGCGATGATCAGCAGCGCCAGCAGCGCCAGCGAGCCCAGGCCCAGCATCTCCTGCCAGCCCACGCTCACGGTGGGGTAGACGCTGGGCAGCGTGAGCTGGCACCAGTCGCCGCTGTAGCCCGTGGCGCAGCTGCAGTTGAAGGTGGTGCCGACGCTGCGGCAGGCGCCGCCATTCTCGCACGGGTCGCTCGCACAGAGGTCCGCGGGGAGCTCGCACCTGGCACGCGCAGACGCCGAGGCTTCAAGCACGTGCGCGCGCGGGGCGCCAGCCTTGGGCAACACCTCTCGTGCTCTCAACTTCGCTTAGAGATTGGTTATTATATTATCCACTGGTCGATCAGTGGATAATGTCAGAATCAGAATTTGTATTTACACAGAAGTAAAAGAGGATGGGACGAAAGAAGTCACTTTTTTACACAGGTGGCTTTTGGGTGGGAAAGCTCAAGGAACACTGCCCAACACAAATTGCATCGACAGAAACGTCGCCAAGCCAACAACTCGAACGGGGCGCGCTGCTGCCAACAGTGCACACACCCACGAGTGGGCCCCCCCCCCCCTCACAAAAAGTAAAGTGCAAAATATTTACAGGCAAAAGTTTATACGACCACACAACATCAATGGCCACGTAGTTGCGTTGTTTTCGTCGTCGTCATCATCATCATCATCATCCACGATAAATCGGCAGCTGTGAATGTGATAAGGAGGAGCTCTACCTGAATGTTTAAACTGCTTAAGAAGCACAACAAGTTGTGCGTAGCTCAACTGATTCACAGTGAAGTTCAGACTGAATGTTTAAACAACACGCTGCATACTCTATACTCTTTGGTTCTTTCGGTAAAGACACGGAGTTAGAAATAAAATAAAACAAATCACGACGTTTCGATCGCAACACAAGCGGCCGTCATCACGCTGCATATTAACGGCTGCCCTTCCAGCGGCAACGGCTGGTGACCTGAGCCGACACACACAAGTAGTACAGTGCATCTGTGCATGCCACTCTGTGTCTGTGCATGCCACTGTGTGTCTGTGTGCCTGTGCATGCCACTGTGTGTCTGTGCATGCCACTGTGTGTCTGTGCACGCCACTGTGTGTCTGTGTGCCTGTGCATGCCACTGTGTGTCTGTGCATGCCACAGTGTATCTGTGTGCCTGTGCATACCACTGTGTGCCTGTGCATGCCACTGTGTGTCTGTGTACTCATGTGTCTGTGTGCTGGTGTGAGCCGGTAGTAGAATAAAAAATCAAGTCTCTCGAGGCAAATCACCCCCACATTCTCCTTCAATCATGGGATGTCGGAAGCTAAGCGGTTTGAGCCTGGTCACTGCCGGGTGTGGTTGCGAGGGGTCGTAGGCGTGCGATGCGAGGTGGCCAGCGGGTGGCAGTGTGGAGCGTCATTCCCCACGATCCTAAATCCAAGCAATCGTTTTCGTGAAATTGGCCAAAAATCTGAATAACGCAGGGGCCCTCCTCTGAATGGAAGTTTCCGTGTTGAGGTTTTTCTGGGTGAATAATTGTCATTACAATCATCGATGCTGACATTGGGTGTGATAATCTCACACAGCGCTTATTGGTGAAGCTACGTGGACACTGCCGCTTGCGTCCACCGTGTTGTTACTCTGGTTGAACAGAAGCTCTACGAAGCGTGTCTTTCATGCACCTGGATACATTTTGCAGGAGGCTTTGTGGAATTCATTTTCTTAAAAAAGTACGCTTATATTTGGTTCTACATGAAATGGAGACTTCGATAATTTCCAAATTCACACTGTATCAACTCCCAACATTTTTCCACATTTGGAATGTGCTTCAGAGTTTGACTCTTAAGTAACGTCCTGCACGATAGTGCCGATGTTGCCCATGTGGATCGCGCGCGAGACAAGAGCGTGTGTGAACTGTAATGCAGTGTGGAGCTGTAGTACAGTGAGTGGTTCGCACGATGTGCTATGAACCCATTGACCAGATTGCCGCTTACGACGAAAAACAGGGGCGAATATTTGAACCGGTCCTGGGCCTCCCCCAGGTCGACTCGGAGAGTTAAACGAGTACCCGCTGCGGTGTGTAAGCATCAGCACGGGGCAGACAAAGGCGATCGAATGTAGTGCTGGCCACCCACCCCCACGGCACTTGCCCCGACAATCTGTTAACGGCTAGACGGGGGAATCTTTGTTTCTATCCGTGAACCGCGACGCGACGCTACCTCGAGCCCGTGTAGAGGCTGCGACATCGGCAGAGGAAGCCGCCGGCGGCGGCGGCGATGCAGGCCCCGCCGTGCTGGCACGGGTCCGAGCTGCACGGCTCCGTGTGCACCTCGCAGCGCGCGCCCGCAAAGCGGCCCGCACAGCGGCAATGGAAGCCCCCTGCGGCAGGCCACAGGCACAGCGGAGCACCAAAGGGGTTCCCTCGGCGCGTAACGACGACGACTTGCACAGCAGCCGGAGCTGACTAATGACGCTCGAGCACCTGCTACGCACGTATGTTCAACCTCTTTTGCACCGTACGTAGCCAACTTTACTAATCGACCCACATCGATATTTACCCTCTCGTTAGTATCGAAGAGGTGAACAAGAGGAAGTGACGATCACCGTTGCCTGGCCGGACGGTCACAGCCGAAATTACATGGCCGCACGTTCAGCTACATCGAATAACCCCACCCTGTAAGAGATTCCCCTCTGATTTGGGTATTCACACAATTTAAACGCAACCTATCCAATGAACAACAGGTTAATACAAACATGAAACCAAAAACAGGTTAATTACCACCGCTCAGAGGAAAGATGTTCTGACAGATATTCTTAGGTTTTTTCGGTAAAGTCACGTAGGTAAAACATCAAAATTAATAAAAATAAAATAAAACAAAAATCACGACGTTTCGGAGGCAACACAAGTCTCCGTCATCAGGTGGGACTGTCACAGCCGGATTAGCTGCATCAAGTGAGGCAATGATTCAAGATGTAATCCCTTAACAAGTAAACCCGTAAAAACAAAGTTTTTCACTCTAAATCCTTTATATGCGTGGCGGCTAGAGTTCTCTCGTCCTCTGGCTTGAGATGGCTGCAATCTATGGGTCAGATGATTGTCTGCCAGTATTAAGCAATTGGTAATTAAATATTTAATTAGTTTTCCCTAAACAGTGTAAAATTTTGGAAAAAAATTTCACGAAAATTAATTGTCACACACAACGAGTCTGTGTGGAAAATGTCAGCTCGATTGGATCACGGGAAGTGGGTTAAAAAACGAGCGAAAGATTTGCACGGTCCTAAGCAAGCAAGCGAACTTAATATAAAGGATTTAAAAATATATTCGCCTGTGGAGGACGCGGGGATCGATCCCGCGACCTTTGGCATGGGAAGCGAGGGCGCTACTAACTGCGCTACTCCACCACGGCCTGTGGAGGGGTTACGCTCTGGGCTCTTGCACTGTGATGTTCAGCCAAAGCCATGAATGCGTTCTATTTGAATATATGTAAAATAATTTTTTTTTGCCTAAAAAGTGTAACATTTTGGGAATTTTTTTTCACGAACAATAATTGTCTGGCACAACGAGTCTGTGTGGAAAATGTCAGCTCGATTGGATCACGGGAAGTGGGTTAAAAACGACCGAAAGATTTGCACGGTCCTAAGCAAGCAAGCAAGCACGCGAACTTAATATAAAGGATTTAAAAAGCAAGTTGAGGGGGAGGAGAGGGGGGAGCTCATCAGAATGTGGTAGCCAATGAATGGAACGTATCGGGAGGGAGGGGGGCGGGGCTCAAAGACGGCACGGAGTGCCAACGTACAACGCATCGGGAGGGGGAGGGGGGGGCGGGGCCCGTGTAGAGACTGCGTTGTGCAACAGCAACCGCGTCCACGCCATCGTGCATTCTTTTGGCCCCGCCCCCCCCTCCCCCTCCCGATGCGTTGTACGTGGCACTCCGTGCCGTCTTTGAGCCCCGCCCCCCTCCCTCCCGATACGTTCCATTCATTGGCTACCACATTCTGATGAGCTCCCCCCCCCCTCTCCTCCCCCTCAACTTGCTTTTTAAGGGATTACATCTTGAATCATTGCCTCACTTGATGCAGCTAATCCGGCTGTGACGGTCCCACCTGATGACGGAGACTTGTGTTGCCTCCGAAACGTCATGATTTTTGTTTTATTTTATTTTTATTAATTTTGATGTTTTACCTACGTGACTTTACCGAAAAAACCTAAGAATATGAATCCTTGCAGTCACGAAAGCTTAAAATCTAGAAATGTTCTGACAGAATGGACTCCTTCTGCAAGTGCGATGTAACCCAGTGCTGTCCGATGTAACCCAGTGCTGTCCGGAGCGCTCTTTCGGGAATTAGTTCGGCACGCCACATCTATCTCGCCTGGTTTTATCGAGATGGATGTAGGTTGGCGATACAGGGGTCACTGTGGGGGTCACTGTGGGGGTCACTGTGGGGGTCACTGTGGGGGTCACTATGGATGGGTGTATCTTGCATTCTAACCGTCGTGCCAAAGGCCAATAATTATCGCTACTCCAACGGCCGTGTTCCAGGAAATAGCGAGTGAGAACGAAGCCTTAAATGTAACCCTCGTGACCAGAGATGAAGCACGCGCTGCCGCACTCGGTCACGGCCACAGTTGATGCCCAGAAACCGAGGGCTGCGTTTAACTTCCCAGCCGCCCCCATTCGTAATGTCCGGCCCTGGACGCGCGACGCCGTGCATTCTCACGGACGAAGCGGCCACGAAACCTTTCAACGCTGGCAATTTGCCCCATTGTTGGCGACGAAGCCATCGGCACGTTTTCGCCAACAATCAAGCGGGATGTGAACAAATGAATGGGCGATGAAGCACAGGCAGGACACACTGGGGATTGAGTAACCGGGGGCCGAGTTAGACGCTCGCACTGCGGTACCGTTGTGTGGCGTGGGCACGCAGGCTCCGCCGTTGAGGCAGGGGATGGCCGCGCAGGCGTTCTCCGGCGACACGAGGCAGCCGCGGCTCACGGCGCGCACCTCCTCGACGCGCGCCTGCGCTCCCTCGCCTTCCGGGGACAGTCGCTGCCCGTTTAAGACCACGGCGTCCAGGCAGCCGTGGAAGCCGGCCTCCGCCGCCGGAACGGAGCCGCTCACGCCCACTTTCGCCATCGGCGCTCGGACCTAACGCGGGGTCACGGGGTTCAAGTCTAACTTTAGTTTGTGCAACAAGTTTAGAAAGAATGGACACAAGGATATACTCATCTGTAAGTGACCTGGGGTATTACCGTGCCAGTAGGAGGCGGTGATTACCGAGCACGCAATGGCTTACACTTGTGAATGACATCACGGGGTCTTTAAAGTTCACTGTGAAGCAGATGTTGCGTAGTATTATTATGGTTGTGTGTGGTGTGTGGTAACCATGCTGTGTGTCCCGTACTGTGTGATTGGTACCCATACCGTGTGTGTGTGCGGTCGGCATGCTGTGTGTGTCCCTTGCTTGTGTGTATGTGATTGACACCCATTATGTGTGTGTATCCTGTACTCTGTCTGGTACCCAAACCGTGTGTGTCCCGTGCCGTGTGTGTGTGTGTGTCCCCGTGCAGCGGTGGTTACCCGCGCCCCCAGGTAGAGCGAGGCGTCGAGGTTGAGGGAGCGCAGCGTCCCCGCGGCCGTGCCGCGCGCCTCGTGCTCCGCGTCGACGACGAGCCGCGCCTGGTTCCCCGTCACCTCCAGCGACACCGAGTGCCAGTGGCCATCGCTCACCGGCACGCGCACCGACACCACGCCGGGACCGCTCCCGCAGTCAAACTGGAACTGCAGCATGCGGTCCACAAGCTGCACGCACAAAGAAAGAGACCGCCCCCCCCCCGTACGGCCTTGAACAGACTGTTGGGGCGAGCACCGTTACAGCGAGCAGCACCTGGGAAGGCTGCCACGGCACGCGAGGGTGCAGGTCGCCAACACCGCGTTCGGCCTCCTCCGTCTCCCCTAGTGCTGGTGTTTACGACACACCGCACAAGATACTCATTCAAATCTGAATCTACCGAGGGGAGGCCCAAGACCCGGGATTTGTCACTGATGTTGGTCGTCAGCGGGAATCGAACTCACGTCGCCGGGTTCAGAGAGCAGCGCAGCGATAACGGCTAAGCTACCGCTCATATTCACACACAAGGAAGCGCACACACACGAACACAAATCCACATAGACGATTGTAAAGCTTATCTTTTAAATATCTAAAAGATAAGCTCCTCCCCTTAACCAGTATATATGATCTTGTCTCTTGGATTTCCCTTCACTTGATACAGTTAATTTGTCTGTGACGGTCCCACCTGAAGACGGAAGCTTGTGTTGCCTCCGAAACGTCGTCATTTAATTTAGTTATTTTCATTTATTATATTTTATTATATTATTATTATTTTTACCTACGTGACTTTACCGAAAAAAACCTAAGAACACGGAATGGTGTTTGGGAACTTTAAGGCTTAAATGTAAATCTACTCTCAAATGTTTACCCAGAAGCACCTCAATTCGCGTTCGAGACTGGTCAGGTCGCCCGGGGCAGGGGGGGTGTGAAGTAAATTATCTTGGCAGTAAATATATTTTTTTACACCGAGATGTTTTTTTAAATTACCAGGTAAGGCCCACTGAGCTATTATCTCTTTTTCAGAATCTCCCTGACCACAAATGATAGTTCAACGAAGTGGCTTATCGCAGGGAAATTGATAACAGCTAAATACTCTCAATGCATGTTTCTAAATTTGCAGGAAAAACCGGAGGACCTGGAGAAAAAAATCCACATCACCACAGGTAGAACGTTGCAAACTCCATATCAACAAGCGTCAGGGTTGAACTCACGACCTCTTGCATACCAGGCAAGGTAGTTAACATCTCTCGCCACGGCCGCACCCCAATAATTTTACTATCACTTTAAACGTATAGTCATGCTTGTACCAGGGAAGGCCTCACAGAGGCTCACAACTCGTTTGTTGGAGGAACCCTGTGCCACATTTTCAGAGTAGGGGACGATGTTTTCTCTGTGCATTCCCAGCCGAGGAATTTGCCGGTATTTTTTTGCAATGCGATGTTTTGCCAATTGGGAGAAGTGAGGAAGACATCAAGGGATTAGCGGTGGTGTGAAAGCACAACAAATAAGAAAAAACAACTAGAGACATTTTCCCCTGCGAAGCGTTTGTGTTCACGATGACGATTATTTTGATTTGCCCTGTTCATTGTATTTATGCACACGGGACGACTTTGAGCACCCAGACAAACCCCGACTCTTCGTCGCTGCCCCATGAAGCTCAGAGCGCTTGGAGGGAAACGTCGCCATGTGTCGATGACGAATTCAGCATCCCAAGCTACCGGCGAGCAGTAGCTTTGTCGGTCAAAATGTGATCGACACATTGGCATCGTGCGGACAACATGTGTGTCAACGCGACAATCTCGTTGACGACAAAAATGCTGGTATCAAACTACCACCACGTGGCCGAACTCAAACACGAATACCGATCACTGCGCTCACTACAAATACAACACGTGAAATATTTAAATATGACACAAGCGAGTGGACTGTGCGGTGACGTCCGGGACTGACCTCGAGGACGGCGTAGTCGGTGCCGCGCGTGTAGACCAGCACGCCGTGGGGGTGGTGCGTGCGCAGCCGCAGCGACAGCTGCAGCGTGTCGGCGCTGGCGTCGCGCAGCGCGTAGCGCACGTACGAGCTGCCCCTGAACGTCAACGCAGACTCGTCTGTCCGCGCGCACACACGCGGCGGGACCCACAGAAGCGCACAGACGTGAATATACAGACACGTGCTTCGTCTCGGTTTCTAGCTTCCTCAAATCCTCCGTCCCTCCACTGCCTCACCCACTTCCCTCCCCCCCCCCCCATCTCTCTCCCTGTTTCTCTCTCTCACTTCCCTGTCAAGTTCCGTTTTGCTCTTCCGCTGCTCTCCGTTGGATGCCCTTTCATTCTCTCGCTGCCCTTCTCCTCTCACCTCCTCCTCCCACCGCTATCTCTCTCCCTCATCTCGCTCCCTGCCTCAACTTCCTCCTCGGTATGATCGTGAGAGCATGATGATACGATGGCACGATAGGGTGGGTGGAAGCTGACTCAGCGCTGTGGGATGCACGTGACGAGATGCGGAAGACGTCATCACACAGCTGTGCGCGGTGACGTCACCGGCGGGCACGCGCACTTGGGAGTGTGGCACCCAGCCAGACAGGAATCCACCCAGGTCATCCAGCCAGAAAAGTTGTATTTAATACAGTATGATATGCGCACAGACCTATACACCCAGAGCTGATCTAGGGGAGGCCCACAACCGGTTCAGATAATTGTCAGATAATTGGCCGTGAGTGGGAATCAACCTTGTGTCGCCATGCTCATACTGCAGTGCGTTAACCGCTATAACACCACTCCCCAAATAGAAACAGTCGTGGACACACAAAAAGACAAAGATCCCCCGTATAGCCTTTGACAAACTGTTGGGTAAGTGCTGTTAGTGAGCACCTATGAAGGCCAAAACGGTTCACGAGGGGGTGGGTGGCCAGCACCACGCTAGACCGCCTTTGTCTCCCTTGTGACAATATTTACACACCACACCAGGTAGCCATTTGAGGCTGAGTCGACCTAAGGGACGCCCAGAAACGGTTCAAATAATCGTCAATTATGTTGGCTGTGAGTGGAAATCGAACTCGGGTCGCCAGGTTCGTAGCGCAATGTGCTAACCGCTACGATACCACTCCCCAAATAGACACACACACGTAGACAAAGATCCCCCGTATAGCCTTAACAGACTGTAGGGGCAAGTGCTGTTACCGAGCACCTATGAAGGCCGGCACGGCACACGAGGGGGTGGGTGGCCAGCACCACGTTTACACATAAGCACCGGGTACTCATTTGAGGCTGAGTCAACGCGTAGACACACACACACGTGGACGCACGCTCACCCTGGCAGGAGCGGCCGGGGAGGCAGGTGCAGCGGAAGCCGCCGGGCAGTGCCGCGTCCTCGCACCGCTCGCCCTCGCCGCACGGAGCCGCGTCGCACGGCGCCGCGCCGCCGTCGCGGGCCTTGTGGGGGGGATCCACGCACGCGGCTCCTGCACGGGGGGGCGGGGGTAGGGGGTAGAGGGGGTCAGCAGCGATCGCGTGCCCTGGCGACGAGGGGCGGTGTGGAATCCGCGGCGGCAACGGCTCAGAGTCTAAGTGACGGAGAGCCCCGAAGCGGCAGGGCCAAGCCGTCACGCCGCCCCTCTCCCGGGCATCGCGGACAATTCGTGTCGCTCCCGATTAATTGTTGCACAAGATTGAGCCGCAAGGTGGCGCAGTGGTAACACTCGTGCTGCGTGAGAAGGGGCCGGGGTCCGATTCCAGACACGGGCGCCTTTCTGTGGTCTGCCCCTGTTCAGCGATGGGGTTCCTTCCAGGTTCTCAGAGGTTTCCTGCCATAACTAAAGTAAAACACAATGTAACCGGTATTCCAATGCTGAAAATGTATTTGCAAATTACACAATTGGAATTACATAGCAGCACCATCGCCCCTACTGCGAAAACCTGTCAAGATCCTCCTGAAAAGGAGTCATAGTGCCGTGGTGTAGTGGAGTGGTGCAATGTAGTGTGGTAGTGGTGTGGTGGGGTATAGTGGTGCAGTGAAGTAGTGCAGTGTCGTGATATAGTGGTACAGTGTAGCGTGGGAGTGTAGTGTGGGTGTAGTGTAATGCAGTGGTGTTAGTGGAGCAGTTCAATCGTGTAGTGGAGGGAGTGGTGGAGTGTAGTTGTGCAGTGTAGTGGTTTCATGTCGTGGTGGTGGAGTGTAGTGGTAGTGTAGGGTGTGGGATGGTCAGCGACGAAGCAGCAGTACCGGTGCAGGCGCAGTGTGCCGTGCGGTGGTGCCGCGGGGTGACCAGGCTGAGCCGCGCGGTGCTGTAGGTGTGCACGGCGCCGCCCGAGTCCAGCGCCACCGACTCGCGGCAGAGCGCCGCGGCGCAGCCGTCGCAGGCGAGCGCCGGCGGCCACGCGGCCCGCAGGCCCACGGCGTCGCCCAGCTCCCCCAGCGAGCCGTTGAGCTGCTGCAGCAGCTGGGCCTGTGGGAGGAGGCCCCCGCCAGGCCGGGCGCTCCACCACGAACAGCACGTCCAGGTCGCCCTGCAAGGCCCAGGCCACATCCCCCCCGGCGTCAGCGTATAACGGTGACCACCGCAGGCTGCGTGTGGACTCAAGAGCAGCGATTAACTTTGCACATTCCTATGACGAGGACCAGTCACATATTTTATCGATTGTTGGTGTTGATTTCAAGTTAGTATCTATTTACAAGTGATTATTTGTAAATAAATAATGTACATTTATGTGTACATGCCCCAGGTATATTATAAACTGACATAAATGAATACAGCTCAAAACACTATAGACTGGCCTCTACCATAATATGAAATTTTCGCTGTTAGCTCAAGACTATGAATAAAGATGTTACCCAATGTTTATATTAGCACGGATTTTTTTGTGAGCAGCAGTACCAGTCAAATGTTATTGTGAAGATGCGACCCGAGTGAAAAAGAGCTCGTGCTATGTAAAGCCAGCGGCTCAAGAGAAGTCATCACAGGCCCCTTGGAGTGCTCCCGATGGTGACTTCAACTCTTTATCTCTCATCAACAAACATTCAAACGCTCGCTACGGAGGCTGGGACACAGCAGAGGTCCCCACCGACGTCATTTACAAGAGCCACCGGTGTGCTGTGGCCTGCGTCTCCCCGTAGGGAACGTGCGCACGAAGACGGGTCTGAGCGAGTGAGCGAGCGCGTGCGTGGTGCGTGCGTGCGTGGTGCGTACCCGTGGGTCGGGCTGAAGGCTCAGCAGGCGCACGTCGGCGTGCCGCGCACCCAGCAACGGCGGCAGCGCGCGCTGGAAGTTGTGCGCGTAGCCGGCGACGAACTCCTCCGGCGAGACGGCGCGGAAGCGGAGGAGGGCGGCGTGGCGCAGCGCCGCGTCCGACACGGCCTCCACGCGGATGCTCACCTCCGTGGGCACCGAGAAGCGCCCGTCGCTCACCGCCACGTGCAGGCGGTAGCGCCCGGGCGCAAGCGGCGCGCGCGCCACCAGCTTCCCGTCCAGCGGCCCGACGGCGAAGGGCGGCTGCTCCTCGGCCGGCGAGTACCGCAGCGCGTCCCACACGTCCAGGTCGGTGGCGTGGATCTTGCCGAGGACGCCGCCGGCGAAGCCGCCCGCCTCCTCGGCCGCCACGATGAGCACCTCGAGCGGCACGACCGACGGCACGCTCACGCTCTCCGGGATCACGCGCACCTCCACGCCCGCCCGCGACGACAGCGCCGGGCGCCCGCTGTCCGCCGCCTGCAACGTCGTGCAGGGTTAGAGGGTCAGGATTAGCTTCAGGGTTACCGTTGAGTCATCGTATAATGACAACACGAGCAAGCGGTGGTGCCGATTTAGACTGGGGTCTCCCGAGCCCAGGGTAAACATTCCATCCCGACACCACAGACGCGTCTCTGCATGTCGCACAATCACGAATGACTCCTCACGCTGTGACCCTAAAGTGCGATGGACTGAATCGACTCAAGACCGGGATTTGAACTTATTCCCTTCCAATTATAAAGCCAGCACCCTGCCATGTAGCCGTCTGGTAGGATTAAGAGGAATGTGCGAGATGTTTTCGTAAAAAATTCCTCCATATGACATGAAATTATTTATGCAATGTTCTTAACAGAAAATCTTCGGGGTAAATTCAACACTAGTTTAACACCTGAACAACTTTGCCATTTCTTGGCGTTTACTTTTTTTTGGTTCAATTTAATGTTCGTAAAACCCCGACGACCACAAGCCCCACGAATCGACACGACCTCCCGAGCGGAACCAGCGGCGGCAGCCCCACCTGCACGAGCAGCGCGTAGTGGGCCTTCTCCTGGCGGCTCAGCGGCGCCGCGGTGCGCAGCGTCCCCTGGGCGTCCACGTAGAAGGCCCCGGCGTGGTCCCCGGGCAGCAGTGAGAAGGCGAAGGGCGGTCCGTTGTACGACGAGTCCAGGTCTGTCACCAGCAGCTGAAGCACGCTCGAGTCCGCCGGCCGATTCTCCTGCAACCCCGCAAACGTCCCTCCTGCGTTAGCGCCGGTAGCCGCCACGCTCGGGGGTTGAATGTGGTGAAATGTTAACTCCCTCGCCTGGTGTACAGGATGTCGTAGGTTCGATTCCGACCCTGACGCCTGCTGCTGTATATTTGGAGTTTGCGCGCCTCTCTCCACGTGGTCGCGTGGACTTTTCTCCGGGTCCTCCGGTTTTTCCCTCCACGTTTAAAATTAACGTCACGCATTTAAAATATTTGGCTGCTGTAAGCTTCCACGCGATGATAAGCCACTTCGCTGAGCAATCATTTGTGGCCATGTCGCTTCAGAAAAAGAGCCATACAGCTCAGTGGGCCTTAACTGGCACAACACAAAAATCTTGTTTTTTTATGTCGCTGAAGCTCAGCTAACGGGACACGATCGGCCTCCAGAGTGCCGGATTCCGAATCCTCCGGCCACCACCGAGGGGGACCGCAGTCCACCCCGGCGCGAGGCCCCGAGGCCCTCACCTGCACCACGATGCTGTAGTTGGACTGCGCGAAGACGGGTGCATTGTCGTTCACGTCCGAGACGTCCACGTTGACCGTCACCTCAGAAAACTTGGCAGGGGTGCCGCTGTCGGTGGCGCGCACCGTCAGAGCGAATCCGGACACCTGCGGCGAGGGGAGGGGAGGGGAGGAAAGGGGAGGGGAGGGGAGGCGAGGGGAGGGGAGGCGAGGCGAGGCGAGGGGAGGGGAGGCGAGGCGAGGGGAGGGGAGGAAAGGGGAGGGGAGGGGAGAGGAGGAAAGGGGAGGCGAGGGGAGGGGAGGAAAGGCGAGGGGAGGGGAGGCGAGGCGAGTGGAGGGGAGGCGAGGGGAGGCGAGGGGAGGGGAGTTACCGGCGATTAGAATTCAAGAAGAGCACAGCTCCAAAAGTCAACAGCAATGGGCCCTTTGCGAGGCTGTCAGGGCAGCTTTACGCGCTGCAATGGGTGTGTTGTGCACCACTCAAGGGGCGCCACCGCAGTCTCTAAATGTTGCAAAACGTCACGTTCGACAATGGAACCATTTCTGAGTCCATTCTGCTCCACCATCGCACATCGTTAGCGAGCGACCCGGGCAACCGCAGCGATCGTTCAAAGCACCACCGCAAGCCCGGGCCACCTCGCAGCGCCGAGCGCACCGCACGCCATCACCGCCAGGACCAACAGACCGTGCGTCTCCTACGCATCGTGCGTTTGGTCACGCGCTCGCACGTCACGCGCTCGCACGTCACGCGCGCGAGCAAGTGCAGCGCGTGAGATGGCCGAGTGGCGGTCCCGCGGTGGGGCCTTACAGTCTCCCGCGGCGGGGCCTTACCGTCTCCCGCGGCGGGGCCTTACCGTCTCCCGGTCGAGCGGCTTGACGACGGAGAGCCGCCCCGAGCCGGGCTCCAGCGCGAAGTGTCCCCCCGGGTCCCCGCCCGACACCGAGTACGCCACGCGGTTGTTGTCGGGGCCGTCGCGGTCCTCGGCCATCACCTGGAGCCACACAGAGAGGTAACGTCGATGCTCTACTCGGTGGCGGTGACGTCGCCGCGACGCCTGCGTCGGGCTAGGTGCGCTCGTGGGCCATGTGAATTGACAAAAGCTTGCCGGCAGAAGGGTCGAGGGACAGGCCCAGGTCAGCACGTAGGACACATGTACAAGTACACGCATGTACACACAGACACAGATGTACATAATACAAACAAGGATTCATATACACGGACACTCAAATATATAACGTCAACAACAAAGATCCCCCGTATAGCACGGTGGGTGGTCACAGCACCACGCCCAACCGCCTTTATCACCAGGTACTCATTTGAGGCTAAGTCGACCTAGGGGAGGCCCAGGACCGCTTCAGAAAATCGTCACTGGTGTTCGCCGTGAGCGGGAATCGAACTCTGGTCGTTAGGTCCGTAGCGCAGCGCGCTAAAGGTCCGTAGCGCAGCGCGCTAACCGCTACACTACCGCTCCCCACTACACACATGCACTTAAGACACATGCATACACATGCATTTGTATAGACAAGCAGGAATCATAATCATTCAATGGCCAATTCCCATAGTAAATTCTCCATTCATTTGCGTCATGGATTCCTCCATGAAAAATGCGTGCAATAGAATGGGATTTTGTTGAGATTTGAGATGAGCTGGGCTTTGGCGATGCTTAGCTTAGCTTAGCATTGCCAATTCCAGCCAGGGAGAATGTGGCCAATCTCAGGCATCCAGAACGGACAAGAAAATGCATTTCTGATGCCTTCTATGTGGAAATCAGCCCAATTCATACATATTAATAAAGAAGTGCATCAGTGCACAGTGCAGCAGAATGGGAACGGGACCAGGGGGCACGGAGCAGGAATGAAGAAAGAAAGCCGTCACGACCTCAGCGGCTAACACTGACAGAGCAAATTAAAGTGCAACCGTGCACAATGAATAGCTTGCGAAAAGTAAGTTGTAAATAAAACAGATAATAAGTAAACAAACAGTTTTATTATTTAATGGGAAGGCAAGTCCAGATGTTCTAGATTTGAAGTTTTCGTGACTGCAAAGGTCCATACTCTTTGGTTTTTTCAGTAAAGTCAAGAAATATTCCCGTTGCTGGGCTGGAGTAACGGAGGCCGCACCCACGGAACCCTTCGAGAGCGAGTTGGGGCAAGCGACCGAGTGGGCGTGCGCAGTGGGGCGCGTTACCGTGAGCACGGCAGTCCCTGGCGGCGCGTCCTCGCTCAGCACGGCGCTGTAGCCGCGGCGGCCAAACTGCGGCGCGTGGTCGTTCACGTCGGTGAGGTTGATGGAGACGGTGGTGACGGCGCTGAGCGAGGGCGTGCCGCCGTCGCTTGCCTGCACCGTCAGGAAGTGCTCCCTCTGCACCTCGTAATCCAGCTCCTCCGCCACCACCACGATGCCTGTGGTTGGGGAGGGCGGAGTGGAGTCAGGGCGCGGTGAGGAACGCCGCTAGAACCAGGGTCTCAGCGCGACCACCAGCTCAAGCGTCACCGTGGAGAGGATTCGCTCGCAGTGAATGATCCGGGGCAGCTGCTCCAGCTGGCTGAACCAGAGGGCCTGTAAGAGGAGGCCGTGGGGGACAGGTGCCGACTGTGCAGCAGTGGCTGCTGGATGTAGCAAAATTCACTTTTTGACCATCGGTGTCACCGCCCACTGGGCGCCGTTGGTATTATACAACGTTACCAAGTTAGCGCAAGAGAGAGAGATCGGTCGGGATGGGCACGCAGCGCCCCGCAACCGCCGCCACGTGAACGTCCCCCGAGCCAGGATGCCTCGCTTCGTTGCTGCACTTTGTCCCGGGGTACAGCGACAGATTTTAGCCACGGGATAAAAGTGAAAGCGTTTGGTGAAAAGTTGTCGGTGACTGCGCGATACCAATCTCCCTCCCCCCCCCTCCGCCGTGGGGAAGGGACGGAGGCCGCTCACCGCTGTGGGGGTCGATGGAGAAGCGTCCGTGCTCGTTGCCGCCCACGATGGCGTAGGCGATGTCGGCGTTGGTGCCGGCGTCGCGGCTCACGGCGAGCACGGCCGCCACCTCGGTGCCCGTGGGAGCGTCCTCGGGGACGCTGCCCGAGTACTCGGAGAACTCGAAGGTGGGGGGGCTGTCGTTGACGTCCAGCACGGAGACGACGACCGCCGCGCTGGAGGAGAGCGCCCGTGGCGCGCCGCCGTCCCGCGCCACCACCGTGACGTGGTGCGAGGGCCGCAGCTCGCGGTCCAGCGGGCGCGCGAGGCTCAGCATGCCCGTGTCGGCGTCCATCTCAAAGTAGGGGTCTCCGGGCTCCTCCAGCGAGTACTGTACCTTCCGGTTGAGGCCTACGCACGGGGGCAGAGCGACGGGGCGCCGCACCCGGTCACACATGATAGCCCAATGAAGCGGCTTATGATGTGGAAATTTATAGCAGCAGCCGAATGCTCTAATCGCACGTACATTCTAAATGTGGAGGGAAAAACCAAAGGACTCGGAGAAAAATTCACGTGACTACACGGATACAGCAGGAATCAGGGTCGGGATGGAACAAAAATGGCAACTATCATCACAACCGCGTCATCAACGCAGATGACGACGGTGGAGAGCGCGAAGGTTCGGCGGCGGCGGCCGTACCTCGGTCAGGGTCGGTGGCCTGCACGCGCGTGAGCAGCGTGCCCACGGCCGTGCTCTCGTACACGCTCACGGAGTAGAGCGGCGTCGTGAACGCCGGGGCATTGTCGTTGACGTCCTCCAGCTGGACGAGGACGCTCGCCTGGCAGGAGAGGCCGCCCCCGTCCGTGGCGCGGGCGGTGAGCGAGTAGGCGGCCGTCTCCTCGCGGTCGAGCGGCGCCAGCGAGCGCAGCTCACCTGCGAGCACAAGACGCACGCGGAACCAGCAGCGTGGAGGTCACTGGTTTGTGTTCACGCGCAGCGAAGCACGGCGAGGTAGAGACCCATTCATCATCGTCTACCGGGTGCTGCCGCGGGGTCCACTTTCTGCTCCGCCTCCTTCCCCCGAGATTGTGGATTTCCAGTTTAAGGAGGTGATGAATAAATAACACTCTGGAAAACAATGAAGCCTCTCGTGCCTCTGGGGAGGCTGCGTCTCCCGTAAAGACGGCGGCGGCAGTTACCTGTGTCGGGGTCGATGCGGAAGCGCTCCGCGCCGGCGCCGTGCAGCGAGTAGCGCAGACGCGCATTCTCCCCGGAGTCGGCGTCACTCGCGTGCACCAGCAGCAGCGCTCGCCCCGCCGCCACGTCCTCCGGCACCGACACCGTGTACACGGCCTGTGGGCGCGGGCAGAGACACGGGCGCTCGCGCGGCGTCTAGAGCGGTGTGTGCGTGTGCCTGTGGGGAGCGGTGGTGTAGCGGTTAGGGCGCTGCGCTACGAACCCGCAGACCCGAGTTCGATTCCCGCTCGCGGCCAACACCGGTGACGATGATCCGAACCAGTCACGGGCCTCACCTAGGTCAACTCATCCTCAAATGAGTGCCTGGTGCGGTGTGTAAACATCTCCACTTGGGAGACACCCACCCTCCTCGTGTGCCGTGCCGGCCTTCATCAGTGCTGCTCGCTAACAGCACTTCTGTTGAGGCTATACAGGGGGATCTTTGCCATTGTCTTTGTGTGCCCCACGTGGTGTGTAGAGCAGTGTGTGTGTGTGTGTGCCCCACGTGGTGTGTAGAGCAGTGTGTGTGTGTGTGTGTGCCCCACGTGGTGTGTAGAGCAGTGTGTGTGTGTGTGTGCCCCACGTGGTGTGTAGAGTAGTGTGTGTGTGTGCCCCACGTGGTGTGTAGAGCATGTGTGTGCTCCACGTGGTGTGTAGAGCAGTGTGTGTGTGTGTGTGTGCACCACGTGGTGTGTAGAGCAGTGTGTGTGTGTGTGCTCCACGTGGTGTGTAGAGCAGTGTGTGTGTGTGTGCTCCACGTGGTGTGTAGAGCAGTGAGTGTGTGTGCCCCACGTGGTGTGTAGAGCAGTGTGTGTGTGTGTGTGTGCCTCACGTGATGTGTAGAGCAGTGTGTGTGTGTGTGTGTGCCCCACGTGGTGTGTAGAGGAGTGTGTGTGTGTGCCTCACGTGGTGTGTAGAGCAGTGTGTGTGTGTGTGCCACGTGGTGTGTAGAGCAGTGTGTGTGTGTGTGCCTCACGTGGTGTGTAGAGCAGTGTGTGTGTGTGTGTGCCCCACGTGGTGTGTAGAGCAGTGTATGTGTGTGTGCCTCACGTGGTGTGTAGGGCAGTGTGTGTGTGTGTGTGCCCCACGTGGTGTGTAGAGCAGTGTGTGTGTGTGTCCCACGTAGTGTGTAGAGCAGTGTGTGTGTGTGTGTGCCTCACGTGGTGTGTAGAGCAGTGTGTGTGTGTGTGTGTGCCTGACGTGGTGTGTAGGGCAGTGTGTGTGTGTGTGTGCCCCACGTGGTGTGTAGAGCAGTGTGTGTGTGTGTCCCACGTAGTGTGTAGAGCAGTGTGTGTGTGTGTGTGTCCCACGTGGTGTGTAGAGCAGTGTGTGTGTGTGTGCCTCACGTGGTGTGTAGAGCAGTGTGTGTGTGTGTGCCCCACGTGGTGTGTAGAGCAGTGTGTGTGTCCCACGTGGTGTGTAGAGCAGTGTGTGTGTGTGCCTCACGTGGTGTGTAGAGCAGTGTGTGTGTGTGTGTCCCACGTGGTGTGTAGAGCAGTGTGTGTGTGTGCCCCACGTGGTGTGTAGAGCAGTGTGTGTGTGTGTGTGCCCCACGTGGTGTGTAGAGCAGTGTGTGTGTGTGTGTGCCCCACGTGGTGTGTAGAGCAGTGTGTGTGTGTGTGTCCCACGTGGTGTGTAGAGCAGTGTGTGTGTGTGTGTGCCCCACGTGGTGTGTAGAGCAGTGTGTGTGTGTGCCCCACGTGGTGTGTAGAGCAGTGTGTGTGTGCGTGCGTGCCCCACGTGGTGTGTAGAGCAGTGTGTGTGTGTGTCCCACGTGGTGTGTAGAGCAGTGTGTGTGTGTGTGCCCCACGTGGTGTGTAGAGCAGTGTGTGTGTGCGTGCCCCACGTGGTGTGTAGAGCAGTGTGTGTGTGTGCCCCACGTGGTGTGTAGAGCAGTGTGTGTGTGTGTGTCCCACGTGGTGTGTAGAGCAGTGTGTGTGTGTGTCCCACGTGGTGTGTAGAGCAGTGTGTGTGTGTGCCCCACGTGGTGTGTAGAGCAGTGTGTGTGTGTGTGCCCCACGTGGTGTGGAGAGCAGTGTGTGTGTGTGTGCCCCACGTGGTGTGGTAGAGCAGTGTGTGTGTGTGGCCCACGTGGTGTGTAGAGCAGTGTGTGTGTGTGTGTGCCCACGTGTGTGTAGAGCAGTGTTGTGTTGTGTGCCCCACGTGGGTGTAGAGCAGTGTGTGTGTGGTGCCCCACGTGGTGTGTAGAGGCAGTGTGTGTGTGTGGTGCCCACGTGGTGTGTTAGAGCAGTGTGTGTGTGTGTGTGCCCCACGGGTGTGTAGAGCAGTGTGTGTGTGTGTGTCCCCACGTGGTGTGTAGAGCAGTGTGTGTGTGTGTTGCCCCACGTGGTGTGTAGAGCAGTTGTGTGTGTGTGTGCCCCACGTGGTGTGTAGAGCAGTGTGTGTGTGTGTCCCACGTGGTGTGTAGAGCAGTGTGTGTGTGGTGTGTGCCCCACGTGTGTGTAGAGCAGTGTGTGTTGGTGTGCCCACGTGGTGTGTAGAGCAGTGTGTGTGTGTGTGCCCACGTGGTGTGTAGAGCAGTGTGTGTTGTGTGTGTCCCACGGGTGTGTAGAGCATTGTGGGGTGTGTGTGTGTGCCCACGTGGTGTGTAGAGCAGTGTGTGTGTGTGTGCCCCACGTGGTGTGTAGAGCAGTGTGTGTGTGTGTGCCCCACGTGGTGTGTAGAGCATGTGTGTTGTGTGCCCACGTAGTGTGTTAGCAGTGTGTGTGTGTGTGTGCCCCACGTGGTGTGTAGAGCAGTGTGTGTGTGTGTGCCCCACGTGGTGTGTAGAGCAGTGTGTGTGTGTGTGTGCCCACGTGGTGTGTAGAGCAGTGTGTGTGTGTGTCCCACGTGGTGTGTAGAGCAGTGTGTGTGTGTGGTGTGCCCCACGTGGTGTGTAGAGCAGTGTGTGTGTGTGTGTGCCCCCACGTGGTGTGTAGAGCAGTGTGTGTTGTGTGCCCCACGTGGTGTGTAGGAGCAGTGTGTGTGTGTGTGTCCCACGTGGTGTGTAGAGCAGTGTGTGTGTGTGTGCCCACGTGGTGTGTAGAGCAGTGTGTGTGTGTGTGTGCCCCACGTAGGTGTGTAGAGCAGTGTGTGTGTGTGTGTGCCCCACGTGGTGTGTAGAGCAGTGTGTGTGTGTGTGCCCACGTGGTGTGTAGAGCAGTGTGTGTGTGTGTCCCACGTGGGTGTGTAGAGCAGTGTGTGTGTGTTGTGTGCCCCACGTGGTGTGTAGAGCAGTGTGTGTGTGTGTGTGTGCCCCACGTGGTGTGTAGAGCAGTGTGTGTGTGTGCCACGTGGTGTGTAGAGCAGTGTGTGTGTGTGTCCCACGTGGTGTGTAGAGCAGTGTGTGTGTGTGTGTGTGTCCCACGTGGTGTGTAGAGCAGTGTGTGTGTGTGTGCCCCACGTGGTGTGTAGAGCAGTGTGTGTGTGTGTGTGTCCCACGTGGTGTGTAGAGCAGTGTGTGTGTGTGTGTGCCCCACGTGGTGTGTAGAGCAGTGTGTGTGTGTGCCACGTGGTGTGTAGAGCAGTGTGTGTGTGTGTCCCACGTGGTGTGTAGAGCAGTGTGTGTGTGTGTGTGCCCCACGTGGTGTGTAGAGCAGTGTGTGTGTGTGTGCCCCACGTGGTGTGTAGAGCAGTGTGTGTGTGTGTGTCCCACGTGGTGTGTAGAGCAGTGTGTGTGTGTGTGCCCCACGTGGTGTGTAGAGCAGTGTGTGTGTGTGTCCCACGTGGTGTGTAGAGCAGTGTGTGTGTGTGCCTCACGTGGTGTGTAGAGCAGTGTGTGTGTGTGTGTGCCCCACGTGGTGTGTAGAGAAGAGTGTGTGTGTGTGTGTGCCCCACGTGGTGTGTAGAGCAGTGTGTGTGTGTGTGCCCCACGTGGTGTGTAGAGGAGTGTGTGTGTGTGCCCCACGTGGTGTGTAGAGCAGTGTGTGTGTGTGTGCCCCACGTGGTGTGTAGAGCAGTGTGTGTGTGTGCCCCACGTGGTGTGTAGAGCAGTGTGTGTGTGTGTGCCCCACGTGGTGTGTAGAGCAGTGTGTGTGTGTGTGTCCCACGTGGTGTGTAGAGCAGTGTGTGTGTGTGTGCCCCACGTTGGGTGTAGAGGTGTGTGTGTGCGTGCCCCTCACCTGCTGACACCGTGGGCGGTTGTCGTTGACGTCCTGCACGCGCACCTCCACGACGGCGCTGCTGCTGAAGGCACCGTCCGTCGCCGTCACGTTGAGCAGGAACGTGTCCTGCCGCTCGCGGTCCAGCGGCCGCCGCACAAACAGCTGCGCTTCCCGCTGCTGCTGGTGCGGCTGCTGCCGCTGCGCCACGCTGATGCCGAAGTGGCCCAAGGGGTCTCCGTCTGGGCGCCCGGCACACGGCACGAGTCGGCCACAGCTCATCTCACCGTGTGCCTCCATTTGCCGGGTGTACACGCAAGAATAAAAACCGCCTCTCTCTTCTGCACCCTTTTGGGCGATACGCCCAGGGCAGTTAAGGGGTCTCCTGGCCCGAAGACCTGGACCCAGTTACCGGCGGCTGACGTTGGTGACCTGTTCTCGAGTTCGAGACAGTTTTGCTACGGACTAAAGCCAGTTAAATCTTGCCCAATGTGACCAGCGCGGCGCACTCGTCACGGACTGGACTCGTGAGGGTGCGCGAGAATAAAAAAATCAGATTAACTTCTTCAGACCCACGTCTCTCACTTAAACGCGAGACTCTCTATTCTATTCTCCATCTGTGTGTTTATACACTGGTCAATCGGTCTGCAGCAAATTCATCATTGGTAGGAGACTCATTGGTGATGTGATAATAAGTGGTGTGGTGATTGATGTGGTGAGTGATGTGGTGAGTGACGTGGTGAGTGACGTGGTGAGTGACGTGGCATGGTGGGCTACGTACGGTGCGAAGTACAATGACACACACAAGTTGAACATACACACACACACACAAGTTGAACATACACACACACACACAAGTTCAACGTACATACACACACACACACAAGTTGAACATACACACACACACACAAGTTCAACGTACACACACACACACAAGTTCAACGTACACCAACACACAAGTTCAACGTACACACACACACACACACAAGTTCAACGTACACACACACATACAAGTTGAACATACACACACACACACAAGTTCAACGTACACACACACACACAAGTTCAACGTACACCAACACACATAAGTTCAACGTACATACACACACACATACAAGTTGAACATACACACACACACACACACAAGTTCAACGTACATACACACACACACATACAAGTTGAACATACACACACACACACAAGTTCAACGTACACACGTACCAGCGACGCGTCTCACCGGTGATGTAGTAGGAGACGTGGCGATTCCGCGGCTCCGAGTCGGCGTCGCTCGTGCTCAGGATGGCCACCACCTCCCCGGGGACGTCGTCCTCGCGCGCCGACCCGCGGTAGATCTCGGCGGTGAAGCGCGGCGGGTTGTCGTTGACGTCCGCCACGCGCACCGACACGAGCGCGCGTGACGACAGGCGCACGCGCTCCCCGCGGTCCGTTGCCACCACCTCCAGCCGCCACTCGGCCTGCACCGAGCACGCCGCGGGCGGGGGGAGTGAGCGCCCGATTCTCGCCGGCACGAGCCCCATCACCGATAGCTGCATAAACGATCTCGCACGGTGAGGACGCGGCTCTTTACCCAACGTTCACTTTTCCCGGATCTGAATACGCACAGAATGATCGATAGGGTGTGAGAATAGGCCCAACTCAGCGCTCTGCTGTAGCTCTGCGGTGCCATGCGTCAGAGATATTCTCCCAAACACTCAGCTGGCAGAAAGGGCAAACCAGCAGCGAACGAATTGGTCCTTCGTCGCTCCAACGTCAACAATGTGTGCTGTAGAGAGACGACTGGCACCGTCATGGGATTGTCGAAATATCCAGCGCTGACTTTGGGCTGCCAATGAAGAAGGGCGCCACACGCTCGATCGAGACTCGACTACAAACGCACATTTGAAAGCGCTTCGCCAATTCTGAGCCTTGCTCTTGACGCAGCGTGCCACCGAAACACAGCGAGAGGCTTGCGATGCGTTGCGGCGCTGCAAACTCAGTTCTTTAGAAATGGAGGCGCACGGTGAGATGACCTGTGGCCGACTCGAGTTTGTGTTTAGTTTGTTGTCCTTCCCCCGCACCTCCGATTAGCACGGTTGGCGATGTATGGTGAGAAAAAAGTGCAACATACACGCATGCGTCCAAAGTCTTGAGCATGCGACCAATATAATCCATAAGAGGTTTCTGCGTTAGATCACGTAACGCGTAACGTGATCTAACCCAGAAACCTGTTACAGATATTACAGACGTCTCCTCGCCGCGCGACTCCAACACCACGGGGGAAACTGACGGCGATTAAACCGTCAACGAGCGCATCTGCCGTGCGCCACGACCGCTCTCCTACGGAGCGGCGCAACGGCCGTTGTTGGGGCCAAGCCCAGGGCCCGGGGGTCACGGGGGTCGCGGGGGTCCGCCCACGGACGTTACCTGCGCCTCACAGTCGAGGGGCCGCAGGGCGGTGAGCCAGCCCGTGTCAGCGTCGAGCGCGAACGTGTCGGCCACGTCGTCCAGGGGCCCCGCGGCCTCGCCCAGCGAGTAGGACACCTGCCCGTTGGGGCCCGAGTCGGCGTCGCGAGCGCGCACGCGCAGCACGCGCGTCCCCGCCGCCAGGTTCTCCATGACGAACGCCTCGTACGTCGCCGACTCGAAAGCCGGCGCATTGTCGTTGACGTCCTTCACCTGCACGCTGACCTGCGAGCGCGAGAGGGGGAGAAGGGCGGGGGGAAGGTCGCGTTATTCGCTCTGCGGCGCAGCACGGCGGAAGGGGACCAGGCTACGGGTCACCGATTCCCTCTTCCGTTCGCCACCTCACGACGTATAGGGAAGGGGGAGAGAGAGAGAGAGGCTGTGGATTTTGAGCAGTCAACAAGTGGGAAAAATTGTAAAAGCTTTATCTTGTAAATAATAAGACCCAGATGATGTCGCCTGGGCACAACGAGAGCGGAATTCAATTGTCCCGTGCCATGGGTGAGACGAGGAAAGCGCTAAATTAACTGGACAACAGCTAGTGGTCCGGGGCTCTCCGACTCCCGGGAGGGTTTCATGTGGCGTGTGTGTGAATGTGTCACGTGCCCAGTTACTAAGTTGTGAACCGTGCGGGCAGGAACCGGCGCTACGTCCAGCATTATTCTTATTTATTTAACGTTAGCATTACTTTATCAAGTATGTTTTGGCATGTATCCCTACTGTACCTTCAGATGCAATCGCATTAAGACATCTTGTAAATATGAGTTGTGTTGAATTGTATCTTTAAAATATATATTTCCCCATTGCAGCCCGAGTTACAGATTCACCTTTTGACAATTTCAAACAGGGCTCCAATAACTGCTTTTGCAAGCTCGTTTTCGGTGTTCGCGCTGACGTCACAGCTTTCCCATCTCCCATCTGCGCCCACGATGCCGACAGCCACGCCGTGCGAGCGTCGGCATGCCCGCAACCTCGCGCCAGCGCCGGGCGCCCAGCGCCGTCTCGCCCACCTGAACCACGGCGACGGCGTCGTGCTCCCCGTCCGAGCGAGAGGCGGCGACGCTGAACTGCAGCCACCTGGCGGCCTCGTGGTCCAGCTGCCTCTCCAGCTTGAGCCGCCCCGTGGTCGCGTCGACGCCGAACGGGGCGCCGTCTCCGCCGCCGCCGTCGCGGTCGCCGTCGCCCGCGGCCCACACGAGGCTGTAGGTCACGCGCTCGGGACCCACGACCCTGACGGCCTCCAGCTCGGTGCCCGGCGCCGCGTCCTCGGCCACCGCAAAGGAGTAGTAGGACTCGGCGAAGCGGGGGATGGCGACGTCCGGGGGCAGCACTTCCACGTAGACCGGCACGAGCGAGCGGAGCGAGGGCAGCCCGCCGTCCTGCGCCAGCACGAAGAATGAGAGGCGGGTCCCCTCCAGGCCCACCAGGCTGTCGGAAGAGCTGATGGCGCCGCTCTCGGGGTCGATCCGCAGGGCCTCCTCCGCGCCGCCCGAGTCCTCGCCGTAGATGGAGTACGCCACGTCGGCGTTGCTCCCCTCGTCGGCGTCCGACGCCGTGACCTGCGCGACGAAGGCGCCCTCCCTCGCGTCGGCCGGGACGGCGGCCTTGTACTCGGCGGCGTGGAAGCGCGGAGCGTTGTCGTTGACGTCGGTGAGGATCACCTTGACGACGCAGAAGGCGACCCGCCCGCCGCCGTCCACGGCCATCACGTTGATCTCGATGACCCTCTCCAGAAGGTTCTCGCGGTCGAGGCTCTCCGTCGTCACGACGAGGCCGTCCGCCCCCACGCCGAACCTGCTCCCCGCGAAGTCGTTGACAATGGAGTAGCTCACCTTGCCGTAGTCGCCGGCGTCCCGGTCGGTGGCCGACGCCACGGCGACCGCGGTGCCGACCGGCGAGTTTTCCGCCAGCTCCACCTCGTACGCGTGCCGCTCGAAGACGGGCCCGTGCAGGTTCTCGCCCGTGACGGCGACGCGCACGCGGACCGCGGCGGCGTGGACTCCGTCCGACACGGTCACGTTCAGGACGTGGACGGCGTCCGCCCGCAGCTTGCCGGGCGCCGACACGGAGATCACGCCGGAGCGGGCGTCGACGGCGAAGCAGCCGAGCTCGTTCCCCGAGAGGATTCCGTAGGCGAGGCGCTCCCCGTCGGAGGCGTCGGCGTCCAGGGCGAGCACGCGCGTGACCGGGTGGCCGCGCGGCACCAGCTCGCCGACCGTCGCCTCGTACAGGCCCTGCGTGAACGCCGGGGCGTTGTCGTTGAAGTCGGCGACGGCGACCGTGACGGGGACGTCGCTGGTGAGCGCGGGGACGCCGCCGTCCACGGCGCGCACCGCGAAGCGCAGCTCCGCCACGAGCTCGCGGTCCAGTCGGCGCGACGTGAGCACCATGCCGCTGCTCGGGTCCACGTGGAAGTATTCCGTGGCGCGGTCGGGGTCGTCCACGATCTGGTAGGAGACGGCCCGGTTGGTGCCCGAGTCGGCGTCGGCCGCGGAGACGGTGAGCGCCAGCGTGCCGACGGGAGCCGCCTCGGACAGGACGACCTCGTACGAGTCGAGCGCGAAGGCGGGCGCGTTGTCGTTCACGTCCTCCACCAGCACGTCCACCGTGGCGTCGGCGTGGGCGCCTGTCAGCGAGTCGGTGGCACGCACCGCCAGCCGGTAGGCGGCCCGCGTCTCGTAGTCCAGCGGCTCCGCCGTGCTCAGGACGCCGGTGCCGAGGTCCACGGAGAACTGGCCGAGGCGGTCGCCGTCGGTTATGCAGTAGACGAGGCGGAAGCCGTCGGGGCTGCCGGCCTGCACGCTGAGCAGCGGCGTGCGGGGCGGGACGCTCTCCGGCACGCTCACGCGGTAGAACGGCTTCTCGAACACCGGCATCGCCTCGTTCACGACGCGCACGGCCACCTCGACGTCCGTCCACAGGGGAGGGACGCCGCCGTCTTCCGCGCGCACGACGAGGGCGAACTCCTCCTCGTAGGACCCGTCGGGCGAGAACGCCTCCCTCAGCCGGACGTCCCCGGTCACCTCGTCGACGTCGAAGCGCCCGAAGTCGTCGCGCAGGGCGTAGCGCACCTCGCCGTTGGGGCCCGCGTCCCTGTCGACGGCGGTCACCCGCCGCACCGTCTCCCCCCGCTCGGCGTCCGCCCGCACCGCCGCGTAGTACGGCAGCCCCACGAACGCGGGGGCGTTGTCGTTGACGTCGAGGACGCGGACGCGCACGACGGCGCGGGCGACGCGCGGCGGCGAGCGCTCGTCGCGCGCCTCCACCACCAGCTCGTGCCGCTCGCGCTCCTCGCGGTCGAGGGGCGCGGCGGCGAGGCTGCGCAGGGCGCCCGATGTGCGGCCCACTTCGAACAGGCCCCGCGGGTTGAGCAGGCGGTAGAACACCGGCTCGTTCAGACGGTTGCCCGTGACCGTCACCAGGGCCACCAGCTGCGCCTCCGTCGTGTTCTCCGTCACCAGGCCGTTGTAGACTTCGCGCGTGAAGGCCAGGCCGCTCGGCTTGCTCTCGGCCGTGGATATCTTCACCGTGGCGGAGGACGAGAACTTCCCGTCCGTCACGCGCACGGTCAGATCGTAGAACCTCTCGAGCGCCGTGACGTTTTGCACCGTGACGACGCCCGCTGCTCGGGCCCACCGCGAACTTCTGCGCCGCGTTTCCGTCGGCGATGAAGTAAGTGAGGTTGGTGTTGGACGAGGCGTCGGCGTCCACGGCGGACACGGTCAGCACCTCGACGCCGCGGTACGCGGGCAGCAGCAGCGTGGCGTCGTACACGGGGCTCGTGAACTCGGGCGGGGAGTCGTTGACGTCCACCACCAGCACCGTGACGAGGGCGGGCGTCTCGGCGTGCAGCGGGGGGCTCCCGCCGTCGCGCACCTGCACCGAGAAGGCGAAGGCGTGCCTCTCCTCGCGGTCGAGGCCGCGGGCCGTGCGCACCGCCCCCGTGCTGGCGTCCACGGCGAAGTAGCGTCGCGCCGCGGGCTCCACGATGCGGAACGCGAGCAGCGCGTTGCGCCCGGCGTCGCCGTCGGCGGCACGCACCACGAGCGGCGCTCCCGTCTCGTCGAGCACCGCGCTGCCGGGCGGCGCGTCCTCCGCCACCAGGCCGCCGTAGCTCGGGCGGGCGAACGCCGGCCGCCGGTCGTTCTCGTCCCTCACGTGCACCGACACCGAGGCGTTGGCCGCCGCGCCCGCCATGTCGGCGGCCCGCACGACGAGGAGGTAGGAGGGCCGCACGGCGTGGCTCAGGGCGCGGCGCGTGAACACGGCGCCCGAGTTGGGGTTCACCTCGAACGCGTCCCCGAAATTGCCGTCCCGAATCTCGTAGACGACCGACGAGTGGCCCGAGGCCGACACCACGGCGACGAGCGTGCCGGGCGGGGCCGCCTCGCCCACCTCGCCGGCGTAGACGGGCCGCGTGAAGCGCGGCGGCGCGTTGCTCGCCACCGTCACCTCGATCTCCACGTCGGCCGTGGAGCCGAGCGGCCTCTCGCCGTTGTCCGTGGCGCGCACGACCAGGCGGTAGCGGGCGAGGCGCGCGCGGTCCAGCTCCCGCGCCACCGACACGATGCCCAGTGCGGGGTCCACGCTGAAGGCGCCGCCCGTGTTCCCTGCGGCCAGGAAGACAAAAGCCGTCGCTGCTTGCCGCCTGTCGAGCGACCGGGCACAGGTGCCTCTGCTGAGGAGTCGATGACGGTGTAGAGGTGGCAGTGGTGGTGGTGGTGAGGAAGCGGTGGCCATACGGAGGCGGTGATGTGGTTGTGGTGAGGCGTGGCAGTGACGAGGTGGCGAGTTGGTGGTCGCGGTGAGATGGTGGTGGCGGTGAGTTGGTGGCGGTGAGTTGGTGGTGGCGGTGAGTTGGTGGTGGCGGTGAGTTGGTGATGGCGGTGAGTTGGTGATGGCGGTGAGTTGGTGGTGGCGGTGAGGAGGACGGCGAGTCCTCGCTGCGCTCACCGGATTCGATGGCGTACGAGAGGCGAGCGTTGTCGCCCGTGTCGCGGTCGCGCGCCGTGACCTGCAGCACGGCGGAGCCGGGCAGCGCCGACTCGAACACGCGGCCCTGGTAGGTGCGCAGCGTGAACTCGGGTGTGTGGTCGTTGGCGTCCAGCACGGTGATGAGCACGCGCTGCCAGGCTGCGCTTCGTCTGCACGTCCTGGTCACGCACCTGCACAGCCGGAGTCACGGTCAGTGCTCGTTTGATGGTTAAAAACCTGAACATATGAACGCATTGGGGGTATAACCGGCGGTGCGTGGGAGTATAGAAAAAAAAACCCCACAAATTTTCCGCGTTAACTTTTGTTATTTTCCTCCACGATTTGCGACCCCCGGTCGGAAAATCTTGCGGGGTACGCATCACAATCAGTGATGTTGCTTGCAGTCGGAAGAAGAATGTCAGTTAAAAAAAAAATTTCAACCGTTTTACAAGGACCGGTGTCTTATGCTGCACCGGTGTACCGCTAATACGTCCATACAGAGAATCGCAGACCTTGGCCAATTGCTGGCACTAGTTCACCGCCTGCCTGCCTGCCTTCTCGCTCGTCTGCGGTTTCCCTCTTTGCCGTGCGACGCGTAACGACTCTAAATTATTATTCACTATTATCCACGCGTACACACAGGGCACACCACATCTGTCTCCCACCGCCCGTTCGGTGCGCAGGGCCATGAGGAAGCGGCCAAGTCCTGTTCACAGGTCACAGGAGGTCACGGGGCACGTGGTGGTAAGGTGCATCACGCTCACGGGACACGTGCAAGTGGTTTGGGTAGACACGCTGGAAATGTGTGTCCGTGACTAGACACTCCACAGTTCATCGCACTTCACCACAACGCAGGTGCGTGTATACGTAGATTCCCTGCGCATCACGTTGCCAAGACTGCCAAAGTTTGTACCGCCGGAGAATGCCACTAATTGAGGATGATGCGTTCCGTTTGTCAACATTGACTCGAGTCGTCTCGAGTCAATTTCAAGTCCTGGCGTCTGTCACACTGAACCGGGTTCTGTACGCATGTCAGTACAGACACGCGCCTTGTCCTCCACCATTGTAAACCTGATCACCCCTTGGGGTAGCGCGGACGCAGCGGGCGCCGCCCTCACCATGACGGTGAGCGTGTGCCGGAGCTGGCTCTCGTGGTCGAGCGGCTCGGCCGTGTACAGCACGCCCGTGGCCGGGTCGAGGCGGAAGAGGCGGGCGCTGGCGGGCTCCGCGCTGCCGTAGAGCGTGTAGATGAGGCGGTCCTTCTCGTCGCCGTCCGACGCCGACACGCGCGCCACCTCCGTGTTGGGCGGCACGTCCTCCCGCACGCTCGCCTCGTACAGCGGCCTGGAGAACTCGGGCCGGTGGTCGTTGACGTCGATCACTTTGATGTAGATCTGAGGGCGAGGGCGGCGCGAGCCGGTGAGCCGTTGCCGTGCGCACGGGACTCCGTGCAGCGTGGCGACATCGCCCCCTGCCGCGAAGAAACCTGGACCCTCCTGACCAAGAGTCTCAAGGGACCCGGCGAGCGCGATGACAACGATAACATTTATTTCCCTAAAAACCCGCACCCCCGTGCCCGCCGCGACGGGCCCTGTGCAGTGCGGCCCACCTGCGTGACGAGGGTGCGCGTCCCATCCGTCACTTCCACCGTCAAGTTGTAGTGCGACTTCTGCTCGGCGTCCAGCGGCTTCGCCACCACCAGGGTCCCCGTGCCGCGTTCCACGTCAAAGCGGCTGTCCACGTTCCCGCCTGGGCACAACGCGGCACGGCGCACGCCTCCTCTTACCGCGGGCACTGGATCGCGGCAGCAGCAGCAGCAGCAGCAGCGGCGGCAGCGGCATCGCGCTTCGCACCCATGACGGAACCGAGCCGGCCGCGTGCGCGTAACCCAGCATCGCACTTGCTCCTTGCGCACAAAGCTACACACAGCTTGTATATTGGTCTCCAATGGCTACCAGCCAAGGCCGACGGAGCTATATAGCGCTTTTTTTCAGAAGCGACCTGACCACTAATGATAGCTCGACAAAGTGGCTCATCGTGTGTAAATGTATAGCAGGCAAATACTTTAAACGCGTGATGTTGATTCTTAATGTGGAGGGAAAAACCGGAGAAAAATCCACGCAACCACGGGGAGAACATGCAAACTCCAAATATACAGGCTTCAGGGTCGGGATCGAATCCACAACCTCCTGTATGCCAGACGAAGTAATTAGCATCTCGCCACACAGAGCGCACTACCAACAAACACACAACATGCGCTAACGGTCAGGGATGGAACTACGATGTCGTTCCATGGCATCGTTGATGAAAACAAAAAATATTACCGATAACCAACGTCAACTCACTCTTGGAGACGTGGCACACTTGATAAAAAAAAACTTTAATCCGTAACAAATCAAATGTAAAAGTAGAACAACATCAGCTCCCAGCCCGGCCACAGCCGTTTTCTCACAAGGGACCCTCGGCGCCAGCGATGGAGCGTAGAGTTCCCCCACACTCTACGGTAAACGCGGGCAGAGCCGCACCGCCACGCGCACGGGCAGCTTGCGCCACGCACGAGTGGGACCAGGACAACTGGACAATATGGAAGAGCTCTCTGGCCCGGTGGCCCCATGTGGCGGTTCGTGTCGTTCAGCGAGAGGGCGGGAGGGGGCAGCAGAGAGCCAGCGGAGGGAGGAGCGTGGAACGCGGTAAGTGACCGGGTGAGATGCTTAGACACACACACACACGCTCGTGGGGTTATTTGACCATACTTCACCGTGCTGGTGAGAGCCAGTTGACGATGGCGATGGGCGTAAACGTGCGAGGGGTGTAACGGTGGATTTTGCTGCACTGTGTCCTGCTACAACATCACGTGTGTGCCTGGTGGTGGTCACCCATTCAAGCGTTGGGCATGCTCAACCGTGCCTCGCTTCCCAGATCTGATGCGATCAGGCAGCTCCTTGTTGATTTGTCGTAGGCCAGACACACGAGCACTCGGAGAAATTCAGCCTTGCACTAACCCCAGCCTGCCGCTGTTGACTCTTCTCTTAATGATAAACAAATACGCAGACTCATTCTGCATTCCGTACCAAGGCGTTTCGTCGCACATTCCCCATGACCAATTGCATTGGGCTGGGCTACAGCTGGGCTGGGCTACAGCTGGGCCAGATTCCCACCTCTCCCCTTGTTTAGTTCACACCGTGGACCGCGTGGCCTTTGCAGGGCTCTCAATTCTCGCACATCTCGGGTATTTACGATGCAATCCCCCAGATTGAGAAGGCGCTCGTAAATACGCTCACAATGGTGCCATCTCCCACACCCACGCGCATGTGAAACGCCAGTTGACAACAGCCGCACCCCGGCCGCTGGCAGCCGACCAATCGGGTCCATGAGACAGAGACCCCCCCCACCCCTCCTGGAGTCTGCTGAACAAACTCACGCCCAGACAAACGCCCAGCACTGCTTGCCGAGCTCCACATTCCTACTCCACTCCCCTACCCCCCAAGTCCCCTACCCCCCAAGTCCCCTACCCCCCAAGTCCCCTACCCCCCAAGTCCCCTACCCCAGCTCCCCTACCTTCCCATCTCGCCTACCCCCCAAGTCCCCTACCCCAGCTCCCCTACCTTCCCATCTCGCCTACCCCCCAAGACCCCTACCCCCCAAGTCCCCTACCCCCCAGCTCCCCTACCCCCCAGCCTTCCCATCTCCTCTACCCCCCAAGTCCCCTACCCCCCAGCTCCCCTACCCCCCAGATCCCCTATCTTCCCATCTCACCGACCCCAGCTCCCCTACCCCTGCTACCCCCCTACTCTTCCAACCCCCCCCCCCCCCATCTACCCCACCACTTTCCTCCCTGCCCCCCACCAGCCATGGCACGTCCTGCCCATGCCCTCTGAATGATGTCATTTACAATAAAAACATAATTATAGATTTTAATAACTAGCTTTTTCTATTGTTTTAACGCATCTGAGAAAAATATATATAGATCTGTCAATTGTAACCAATTAAATGAATTTAGTTTGTATCCCCAAAGTCTCCATTGCTAAGGGGGGGACATTGTGTCTCAATCACTGGGTCATCACAAAGGGCTCCGATCACGAGAAGCACCGTCGCCCCGGCAGGCCGGAGACAAAGCGTCTTCTACGACCCCGACGACACTTCTCGGAATCTCCGCTGTGCACAGGTGGTGGCTCGTGCCCCAGTCGGCTGCCGCGAGACTCACGGCGAGCGAGCTGCAACTTGAAGAGAGGCACGGTTGAACTAAACATCTTGGCAAAGGTGACAAACGCAGCTGCCTGGTGGCGTCGACGGAGCGGGCTGTCCCCCTCCTCGCCCCAGCTCACCGCTCCTCCTCCTTTCTCTCACTGCCCGCCCACCACCCACTCAACGGTGTCAGGATGTATGTGCACCGCATGTCGTTTAAACTTTTTTTCGCACCGTACGTATCCAACCGTGCTAATCGGAGGTGCGGGGGAAGGACAACAAACTAAACAGAAAAAGAGGTTTGAAAGAAATTAGTTTTCAATCTAGAACTACGTTTTCAATCGCCTTGCCACATTCAGTCTGATTAGGATCGCTCAGTGATCCTTTTAGTTTTTCTTACCAAAGAGCACGATTTAAGTTAAAGTTCGGCAGTACAATGTTTGAGCTATTCATACTTTTTCGAAGCAAATTACAAGTGCTGTTAATTGCGCTGCTAATTCAGTGAGTCGTCCAGACAATGCACACGAGTATCTCGATTTGAGGTTTTCGTGACTGCAGGGATCCATACTCCACCAGGTACTACGACACCACGCAGAACCTCCCCCCACCCCTCCCTCTCCCCCCCCTTGCTCCTCCCCCTCCATTGCCTGTATAACCTCTTACCACGCCAACTCTCTCTCCCACTTCAGCAAAAAATTATTCTTGCTGTGGTTTTCCCAACTGATGATGATTGCTTGTGTTGCGATCGAAACGTCGTGATTACATTTATTTTATTTTATACCTATGTGACTTTACCGAAAAAACCACAGAGTATGGATGGGTTATTTTCTTGTGGGCAAGACCCACAGAAGCATGGTACGGCCGGCTCTACCACCCCCACAGGGGCACTCAGCACGTTGGTGTCACGCACAGCAGCCCGCGTCCCCAGGTGACCCACCAACCCCACAAAAACATCGCCACACCGAGGTGCGCAACAGCAGTAACGGACTGCTGTCGGCGAGCATACGTATGCACGTTGAACTTCTTTCGTAGCGTGCGTAGCCAACCGTGCTCATCGGAGGCGAGGGCAACGGATCTTCCGGTCTCGCCGCCGTGCGGAGGAGCTCACCGAGGATGGCGAACCAGAGCGGCACGTCCTGGGGATGCGCGGACACGATGCCGACCATGTGGTTCACCCCGTCACTCTCCAGCACCGTGAAGCTGAAGACGGGCTCGTCGAATCTCAGCGGCTCGCTGGACGCCCGCGGCACCATCACCCACTCCATGTGGACGCGCGCACGCGCCACCTGCTGGGGCCGCCCGTTGTCCACCGCCTTCACCTGCGGGGGCACCGAGGGTACGGCACGAGCGGCACGGTCACGAGCGGCGGAGGGGAATCCGCCTCCGGCAGCGGCAGCAGCAGCGGCAGCAGCAGGACCGCAGCAAGCGATGGCTTCTCAACCTCCCATCAGACTCATGCCCCCACTCCGAGCTGAACGAAGCGGCGCAATATCCGGCAGCGTGCGTCTTACTTGGCCGTGGCCTCGGCTCACCGCCTCGACGCGGAGACCAGTCACTGGTTTGCATGAGCAGTGATCGCGCTGAGAAAACATGGCTGAATTATTGGTGGATGCAATGGGGAGTGGCCGTGTAGCGGTTAGCGCGCTGCTCTACGAACCTGGCGACCCGATTCCAGCTCACGGCCAACACATTATCTGAACTGGTCCTTGGCCTCTCCTAGGTCGACTCAGCCTCAAATGAGTAACTGGTTTGGTGTGTAAATATCGTCACTGGAGAGACAAAGGCAGCTGGGCGTGGTGCTGGCCACCCACCCCCTCGTGTACCGTGCCGGCCTTCATAGGTGCCCGCTAAAGCGCTTTCACCAAAAGTCCCTTGAGGCTACACAGGGGATCATTGTGCGCGCTTGTGCGTGTGTCCGACCGGGGCCCGCCCCCCCTCGCTCGTTGTCATCTTTGGTCTTTGTGCGGGAATAGCGGTGCAGTGGTTAGCAACACTGCATTATAATCTGAGTGACCTGGGTTTCAACTCCTGAAACAATACAGTGCGAGCGGCAAATAGAATCAAGAGCCTGGCCTTGGCCTCCCCCGTGGGCAACTCAGCCTCAAGTCGACGTCCAACCTGAACATTCGCACTGGGCAGACAAAGGTGCCCCCCCCACCCCCACCCCCAGCCCCACCCCCTGCCCCACCCCCACCCCCAACCCCCAGCCCCACCCCCTGCCCCACCCCCAGCCCCTGCAGGACGTCAACGTCGCCCCCCCCCCCGCCAGCAGCGCTCCGGACGGCGGCCGAGTCTCCCGCTCATTCCCGGCTTCTTCTCACCGTGAGAATCTCGTGGCTGCCGGCCTGGAAGGGGTGCGCCGTGGAGATGACCCCGGTGGTGGGGTCGATGAAGAAGCGGCCGCCCTCGTTGCCGCCCTCGATGTAGTACGAGAGGTCGGCGTTGGGGCCCTCGTCGGCGTCCGAGGCGAACACGCGGTACACGGGCTCGCGGCGCCGGCTGCGCTCGCGCTCGGGGAGGCGCGTGCGGTACACGCGCTGCGAGAACGCCGGGCGGTTGTCGTTCTCGTCGAGGACGCGTACCGCCACGCGCGCCGACGACGAGCGGGGGGACGGGCCCTGGTCCGACACCGTCACCTGCCGACACGAGCACACAAAGACAAAGACCCCCGTGCAGCCTTAACAGAATGTTGGGGCAAGCGCAGTTAAGCAAGCACCTATGAAGGCCGGCACGGCACATGAGGGGGTGGGTGGCCACACACCGCGTCAGGTACTTATTTGAGGCCGAGTCGACCTAGGGGAGGCCCAGGACCGGTTAAAATAATCGTCACTGGTGTTGGCCGTGAGCGGGAATTGAACTCGGATTGCCGGGTTCGTTACGCAGCGCGCCAACTGCTGCACTATCGCACACAACAACCGCCATTCGCCACTAAGTGGTGGTGACATCACCACGGTGCTTGTGCCAGGCTAGGCACACATACACGTTCACGCACACACACACACGTTTGGCCACAAAAGTGCACGCAGAAACAGGTAGGAGACCGGTTGGATTCGTAAAGCGTGTCAATGCAATCGCATCACAAGGCCCCGTGCAAATAGGAGGGGGGGCGTTTTAATTCGCAGCTGTTATTATTCCGGTGCGGTAAGAAGCAGGGAGTGGCGCCATGTGACTGGGCGGCAGGCAGAGTGTGGGGCGATCGAACCTCCATGACGTGCTCGGCCTGCTGCTCCCGGTCCAATTTGCGTGCGGTGGTGGAGATGAGACCTGGGAGGCGACACAGAGCGGCAGCGCACGCGGCTTACACGTTGCTCACCTCGACGCAGACACGGCGACTCCCAGCTAGTCTACTTGGGGGCACTGTTGCCAGCATGCGCCTTGGAGGTGTGGTACACAAGCGACAGGTGGAGCTGCTTTACGACATTGTCGGCGTCGCAGTCGTCGTCGTTACCATCCTTTATTTAACCAGGAGACAAAATCAACCCATCGAGACGCGACAAACAGCACCGCTTATTTTGCAAAGGCGGCGCCACCTGGGAATACGCGAGAGCGAGCAGGCTACAGAGCAGAGGCAGCACAGCCAACGTTCCCAGTGCGAACGTGGGCAGCCATCACGATTCGACTTTGGCTCCCCATTGCAACAAGCGCAGTTTTTAGCTCGGCCACTCATTACGACACTAAATAAATACAAATTACCGCTGCAATAAATAGGTGCACCGGATCACGACCGAAGAGTGGGGACCTCTTGACGGAGCGCGAGCGTGGGCCATCTGGTATCGGTAAGGGGAAGCAACGGGCCGCCGTGCGTGCCGGCGTCTCCCCGGGGCCGGTGGCCACACGACGCCCCGGCCGACTCGCACTCACGCGGCCCAGCACGGCTCTTCGCCAAAACGTCGAAATTGGGATGACGCCGTTTGTAAAATAAAACTGCCGGACAAACACAGGTGCAACACTACAACGTACGTGTATAATCTGTTGCACTTATGTGCGGAGATTAACTAACAATGAGGTGTGCGCTGCATATACAAAATCTGTTAAATATATTTGTTTACAAGCCTGAATTAAAGTTCGCTGCTGATATTGGTATTCTCGTCATTTAGAGATTTGAGCGAGCACGTTGCTCGGACCGCAGTGAAGTAATGACTGTGTTAATCGCTACACCACTGTCCGTACAACTCCAAGGTAAGCGTGCAAACACACGCACTCCTCCATGTGCCTTGACACATCAAAGCCCTTTGACACAACAGGCTTGCACATAAATCAAAACGGGTGCGGCATGACAGTCTCCTGTTGAATCAAGCCGACCGGGCATGTACCAATACTCAACGATGACAAAGGCCGCTGCAATGAAATGCACATCCCATGAGGAGCCGTGTGCATTTCTATCCTTGAATTTCAACATTCACGCATCCAGGGGTCACATCTCAGGATGCGGCGCCTCTCTGCCCGGCTCTTGAGCTCTCGTATTTCCCGGCCGTGGCTCCCTTCTTGGGGCCACAGGTGGCATCTCTGCTGTCTGCCGGACGTGGAGACACGCGGCTGCAATCAAGCGCTCTCGGAGGGGAAGGGTCAGCGCATCTTGCAGATTCCATCGCGCAAGAGACGCCCTGAACACGTTGGCGCTTGTAGCCGTTCCCTCTGGGCATTCCGGCCTCCTGCCACCCACCAAAGCAGCCATTCGGGAATTATCCAAATCTCCCAATGCAAGGCTCATTCAAAATAAACCAGGGTCAGAGGCAGAAAGAAAATTAATTGCAGGTGAAAGCGGAACTTATTTCACGTGGAACTGAATTTTTTTAAAGGGCCCCCCCGCCACCCACGATTCGAGTTGTGCGATAATTTAGTGCGATCGCGTTTCAGAGGCTGGAACACGTCCACGAGCACGCCACTGCCGTCAGCCCCCATCGCGTTTCGGGCGCAGGCATGCGGCAACGAGGCCGTGCCGGCTCCTCCTGGGGCCCGGCGCCAAGGGTGGCGTCCGCAGGGGGCGCCGCGGCGCGTCTCAGCCCTGCCGCCTCTAAACAGGAAACATCGGAAGTTGTTGAATTCCGTTGCGAGCTTGCGCGAGGAGCCCCGCAGCGCGACCTCAAACCCTCGACTCTCGCAGCCAGAACGGGCAACACCGCCGGCCTTGATCCTGCTCGACAACTCGCGTTTGTAGCATTCGAGTGTCAGAAGTAGAGCTTTGTGATTATTAATTAAACGCTTAAGCACTTCGTTGTTTGCCACCTCCGACGTGTTGAAAGAATGAAAAAAAAAATGCGTTAAGATGGCATGAGGGGAATTGTCCTTGTTCAGATCGACAGGCGTAGAGAAGGAAGGCAGCCTAAATAATGCACGCCGAGCCAACAAGAACACTTCACAATGCGGTGCCTTGAAAAGATTCCTATTAATATCTCGAGATGGTTGCTGGTATATGAACCGGGCATCGATAATAACTCTCGATATTGAACCCCACGCGTTACTCTCGGAGCTGTGCTTTTGCCCGGATGCAGGCATCAGGCTCATTGGCAGTGTGGTGGTAAGAAGCCTCGGTATTTCAAGTGCCTTGGGTGAGTGGTGCAAATTCCACATTCCTTTGGCAGGGAATAAGATGGCTTTGGCATACCGAGAGTGATTAGAGTAGAGTGGGAATGTAAGTGTATTTTAGCCAAGTGTTACCAACGCCCCTGTGTGTGCGTGTTTACCTCATGCCCAGCCACCGCATGCCTAAACAGCCTTCGTTCGGCCAGATAGAGGGGGCTAAACGGGCGCGGCACGGGCTAAAGAAGAGATGGAGTGATGTGGCGCAGGAGGATGTGGAGCTGAGAAGACTTGCCGATGACTGGTGCCAGCGGTGTCAAGATCGGCCTCTGTGGAGGAGGCTCGTGAAGGATGCTGCTACTGGGCAGTTGGAGGCAGTCGCCCTCCAGCAACAACGGAGGGCGGAGGAGCAAAGCTCACAACAACGAGCGGAGCGCCGGGAGGCTAAAGCACAGCAAGTTGGCACAGGAGGAGCCACAGGTGGTGCATCAGCCAGTCATCTCAGTCAGTCGATCCGTGGCACCTGGGTCTGCCCCGTGACCTCCTGCCTGCCAGCGGGCATTTGACACTTCACGTGGCTACAAGGTGCACATAGCCTGGCACAAGCACTGTAGTGACGTCACCGCCACTTCGTGGCGAATCAGCGGTTATTGTTGTTACCTCTCTCTCCCTCTTCCCCGTGCCCCGTTGGCTTAATTCCGGAAACAGCTCGCCCGCCCGTGATTCACCCTCCGTGTGAAATCAGCTCGGCCACAAACGGAATGCAGTTGTTCCAGTGATACTTCACAAAGGATTCTCCTTTCGCGAATATATACGTCTCAACGATGAAAAGCACATGAGTATTCTTTGGGAGGGAATATACAAGAGAATGTTTGGCGCTTTGAAGAAGAGCCACTACCCAAAAATGTTGGCTCACTGTGCACTTTTTACTTAGATGGCAGCATTGGTGCTCCATCAGAGCAGTCAAATGTTCCACATCGTGCTGCTACACCACTGCAAGTGAAGTTCAACTACGTTACAATTTAACAGCTACCACTAGCAGCAGTCCAAGATGGTTTGTTCAAACAGACACCACGCAGCTGCTCTCCCTGATTGAACCAGATGCCGCTGGTTCCAGCTGCAGGCAAATGCACTCGACACCGGGTCCCCTCCTGTGTGCCACATCAGCCAACCTCTTCTCAAGACGTGCCTCGCGCTCCTTTAGCCCCCTCTATCTGGACAAAAGAGCGCTGCTTTGCCACGCCCTGGCTGAAAATGAGGGCGACACGACCCCCAGTCGTCCATCGTTGTCTGCCGAAGGTCCTCGTCATCTCCCTCTGTCTCGTGGCTTCAAAGCAGCGGTGGAAATCACACATTCCCACCACAGTGGAGCCCAGCCTCTCCGTAGGGCGACCATAACTTGAGTTGCTGGAGGGACGATGGGCCGAGTTCACCTCCGACCGGGACCTGAATTCAGAGATTAAAATTTTGCAGGACGAATGTTGCGCCGCGGTATTGCCCAGTTGGAATCAGTACTGACGGCAATGACCTCGTTATTAATCTTCGAATCGCAAGTTTCCGCCAAATGCGGTGAAACGTGTCAGAAAAAAACTGCATCAGCAGTGACCACCACCGGCATCGTCATCAACGGGCCGGTCAAATTCCATGAATTGCACCGGGCCGCCCACGACTCCCATGGCTCCGTGCACGGTCCGAGCACGCCGGCGGCGGCGCGAGCTTTGATGAAGGGGAAATGCCCCGCGGCACGTCCAGCGACACCGGCACGGCGCCGCTACCCGCCGAGTCTTCGCGTGGATTCCTCGGCGATCCCTCGGCCGACGACGCCCAATCGCATGCCCCACAGCGCTCTGCTGCAGGACCCACGGTGGCTAGGAGACGTTGACTACTTCGCCTGGTAAACAGGTCGTGGGTTCGATCCCGACCCTGACGCCTGTATATTTGGAGTTTGCATGTCTCTCTCTCCCAGTGGTCGTGTGGATTTTTCTACGGGTCCTCTGGTTGTCCCTCCAATCAATGTGTGTTTAGAGTATTTGGCTGCGATACATTTTCATGTGATAAGCCACTTCGTTGAGCTATCATTTATGGCTAGGTGGCTTCTGAACAGAGCTATGTAGCTCAGTAGGCCTTATCTAGTCAAATAGAAATAGTTAATGGTTTTAGTTTATAGTACCACCTCTCAAATGTTCTCAGGATTAGCCTCCATTAAGACTCTCATCCTAGGCTAAGTCAACGAAATGCTTTGGCAACGCCACTGCAGTGCCGGGTGTCATCCGAGCTGGAGACAGTTCACGACGAATCCACGGAGTAAATGAAATCCCCTGGGGAATCAATGGGAAATCAGCTGCTCAGAAGCTTGCGGCGCGCCGCAAACAATACTCCAGGATCCTGGCGAGTTACGAAAGGAGAGCCGCCGTGAGGCATCGTGCCACGGGCGTGCGGGATGGAGACGCCGCGCAGCGAGGCATGAACATCGGAGGACGCTGCAGGCGACGAACTGCCCCTGGGCTTTGCCCCGCTGGGTGCTCAGCTTCACCTCCCGACCGCTTATTCCTTCCGATATTCGTAAGCCGCTGGGAGCTATGTACTTTTAAATCGTCTAGATTGAAAACTAATTTCTTGAGAACTGCTTTTTATGTTTAGTTTGTTGTCCTTCCACCGGCACCTCCGATAAGCACAGTTGGCTACGTACGGTGCGAAAGAAGTTCAACATACATAAAAAGTCTCGAGGGCGATATTAAAGATATCATGGACGTCTCCTCGCCGCACGACTCCAATGACACAGGTAAAACTAACGGCGATGACATTTTCTAGGAATGCATCCGCCATGCGCCATAACCGCTCTCCTCCGGAGCGGCGGTCCGGCAGTCGCTGGGACTCGCATGGCGTGGAGCCTCCCCCCACCGAGCGCCATGGCCGGGCCGTACCCTCGTGTCTCCGCGGAGAGGAGTCACTGCCACAGTGCACCTGCTCTTGTCAGTACAGCAACGTAATAATGGATGTGCTCTGTGTGTGTGACCCACACTATGCAAGAGTGCTCTCTACTGACGACACAATCGGCCAGGGTCTGCAGACGTGCGCCGCCCCCTTCCTCTCTTGGTTCCCCCCATCACGTCGTCCACAAACGCCACAGCGGGAGGTCTTGCGAGGGCACGGGCCGCGGGGCAGCGGAGGGCGAGTGGATGCGAACATCACCCGCAATACCCGTTCTGCAGCTTCGCAGTTCTCCTCTCCCAAGAGAGTCTGGCAGGGGCTGTCACACGATACACACACGGAGCCGCCACTGGGCCACTCCCGTGTGGGGGCTGTGGGGACGCACACAAGCTGAAGTGCAGCCTGTGGCAGAACGCACACAGAGGCGCCTGCCACTTGGGGCCTGTGGGCTCTTCTCATGCGAGCTGACAAAACGTTTCGCTCCGCAGCTGGTCAGGATGCGGACGATGCAGCCGGTGTCCGTAAGCAGGCGTCGGTCTAACGTTGAGTCAGCCAAAGTGGCCCCTGTGCCTCGCATAGATCGCTCTAACACCCCTGTGATAGGAGCGCAAGCTCGGAGTGACATATCGCCCTATAAAAATAAAAGTTTACTATAGAAAGACAGACCATTATATGGCGGTTATATAGAGGAGGGGGGGGGGGCGAATGTGGGTGGACGTGTCGCCATGAAGCTCCCACGCGGTGCCGCACAATCCGGACAAACCGGCACGCTATGCAATGCAGGAGACACACACACCACTATTAGATGGAGGGAGACACACACACCACTATTAGATGGAGGGAAAAACACACGCCACTATTAAATGGAGGGAGACACACACGCTATGCGATGCAGGAGACACACGCATGCATGTCAAACTTCTTTCACGCCGTACGTTAGCCAACCGCGCTCGGAGGAGACGCGCCACGTGACAGCGGAGCTCACCGGTGCGGGCGTCGATGGAGAAGAATCCCTGGGGGTTGCCGCTGGAGATGCGGAAGGAGAGCGGCGCGGCGCCGCCCGCGTCCGCGTCGCTGGCGCGGACCTGCAGCACGGCGAGGCCGGCGGGAGAGTTCTCGGGCACGGCGGGGCGGTACATGGGCTCCTCGGTGAGGGGCGCGCAGTCGTTGACGTCCTCCACCTCGACGAAGACGTGCAGCGTGGACGCGAGCGGCACAAGCGCGCGGTCCACGGCAAACACGCTGAGCCAGTAGCGCGAGCGCGTCTCCGCGTCCAGCCGCTCCGCCGTGCGGATCACGCCTGCGCGACACACGGGGTTCGCACGCGGGATTCGCACACGCGGGATTTGCACGCGGGTCTTGCACACGCGTGTCTCGGCGCAGGGCGACCTCCACAGTTGCCTTCCCGCAAAGCGGTTCTTGTTTTACACGGCCAGGAGTAACAATGTGTTCGGGTAACCCTGATTGGGATTTAAATTGACAAGCGTCAAGTGTTGTGTGGTCGCAGCACCGCCCGGCCACAATTGCTTAAGAAAAATGTGACCTGCTGGGAACTTGATATTCATGGTGTACTGCACCTCACCACAAGCAGTCAATTACTTAATACTGCCACAGTCCAAGTTTTATTCACAATAGCCGGATGTAGAATGGTTCATTTAGTCAGCAAAACAACTTAAATGAGATGGTGTGCACTTGGCTAATCAGATTATCCAAAATGCATTACTTATGACAACCGACCAAGTTAACTTCACAAAAGACAGTAAACTATTCATTTAAAACACACAGCATGCGTATAAAAATGCAGTCGTTCTAAAGCTTGGCGCTGGGGTGAAAAACCGTCGGCAGCTCCCCCGCGCCGCCTCCTACGCCGCTCGATTCCCGGCACCCGGAGCCTGACTGCGGCTCGCGGCCTGCTCCACCCCCCCCCCCCCCCCCGAACCTGCCACCGCCGGGGCCACGTGCAATCAACTCCGTGGCTAACGGCGAATTCGCCGGCCGCGATACGACGACTGTCCTCAATTAGGGGAGAGTAAGCGGCGGCCGCTGAGATCGGCTCAACAGGAGGAGCGGACTGCACGAGCGCACGCCCCGGCCGCAGCGGAGCCACCGTCCACGTAAAACTGCGTGGGACGTCGAGGCAGATTTAGGGGCGCTCTCGTTTAAAACGGGGGCCCCGGCCCGAGCCAAAGTAAACACGCGGCAAAGAAACCTCGCGTGTTGGTTTACATTTGCTCTGCTCTAAACTTTACTGCTAAATAGGCAACCGCCTGGCCTCTGGCATTGACCTTTGGAAACAAATGTACACTCTTTGTTTTTCTTTTGCATTCAACGACAGGCGAGTTAAACCCCATTACGATTCAGTTGCCACGGCCACCGACGGAAGGATTCCGCCGCTATTGTGCCGGGCCCCACTTGCAACCCGGCCGTTACGAACACACACAGAGGATGTCACGCCAGCGTTTCCGCGGACGGCAACCTCCCCCCACCACACCACCCCCAGGCTTCCACTCTGCGTTCATAGTTATTTAGATCCCTTAATAAGCACGTGCGGCACAGGTTAATTATTACCTGCGACGCACAACTCTACCCGGGCAGCACCTCAACCGTTTGTGCGCAAAGCCTTGAGATTTAATTTGGAATAGACACGGTATAGTTGACCCTCCCGTGAAAGTCAATCACTAAATTGCATGCGGTTCGGGAAAAATGGCAGGTAACAGCCACCTGTGAAATCCTGACTGGCCACCGTCTCGGAGCGACAGGGCTCCACCCCCTACCCCCCCCACCCCCTCAGTCTGACGGTCGCACACCGCACGGATCGCAGTGATCAATCTCAAGCTAACGTGGATCTTATACTCGAGCAGCACAAGTGCGGAAGGAATAACGCAAAGCGATATTCAAACTTTCCACCCGCCTGCCGACAGGAAACCCGAAGGCCCCTTCGCTCTTTGCAGTGTGATTGACTGCCAGCGCGCCGTCCCCCTGAATAACCGAGCGCCACCACGAAACCCGCCAGCTGCCCTTTGCCACGGCACGCAAGCGCCGATCAACAGCTCTCTGCCAGCCAGCGCAGCACGAGCCTAATCCCGGTCCGATCTCGGCTCCGTTGAGGGAACGTAAATCCCATCGACACGTGAAGCCTGCCGCTCAGTGCGATCACAGCAGAAAGAAGTTCAATATGCATACATACAGCGAGCACCTGGTGACACATCCGAGGCCTTCCACTGACACATTTCCACGGTGACGATGAACCGTGTAAATTTCCATACAAACTCGATTAACGGCAGCCCCCTAAATCACGCTGTTTATGGCGCGACCCCCACGGCAAGAGAAACCCGCGCAAGCCCCAGCTGTCCTTGGTGCGCAATCTGCTCGGCTTTTGAAGAAATTTATTGGTCGCTGGTAAAAGGTCAATATTTTTTCCCGTCCCCCAGATTCCTATTCGGTCATTGTGCACAGCCCCGCAGAAGCCGAGAGATGCAGAGCTGCGATCCATGGGCACCAATAAGTCAGAAAATGACAAACACTGGCCCTCAATTTGGAAGAGTCCAACTGAAGGGACATGAGGGCTGCCCACTGTTGGTACAGTTTTAGGTGCACGTTAAGATTTTGGTTGGTGGTAGCTCATGCATCTTGAAAAGTTACGGGGGGAGGGAGGTGATGAAAGCAAGTGACAAGCCAGCAAACCTGACCATTCAGCGAGGATCCACCACGAGGATCCACCACTCCCGTGTTTAGCAGCATACACAGCCAAATGTAAATACAGCTCCACTCGTGATGTTTACACAGCATCCACTGCGGACGATCCACACACACGCCATGGGCGACTATTACAACTAGAGGCAGAGGCGGCATGAGCTACATTTGTCGACAGGCATCGCCGTGAAGCACGAGGGAGCAAAGGGGAGCCTTGGCAGCACCGAGAGCAAAGCTCGCCACCACACCTGGCTCCAGCTCCTCCAGCATTGGGGGGGGGGGCAAGATGTTAACTACCTCGCCTGGTATGCAGGAGGTCCTGGGTTCGATCCCAACCCTGAGGCCTGCTTTATATATTTGGGGCGTGTCTCTCTCTCTCCCCGTGGTCGTGTGAATGTTTCTCCTGGGTCCTGACAGTTTTTCCCTCCACATTTTGAATCAACATGCGTTTAAGAGTATTTGGCTGCTATAAATCTACACATAAGCCACTTTGTTGAGCTCTCACTTGTGGCGGGTCTTGCCTGGTAAACAAAAAGATGGTTAAGTTTGTTGGGGGGGCAAGGATAGTGATTCACCGCAAAGTTGAAGTGATCTTGGGTAGTGCCAAAGGGGCATTTGGTGGTGCAGGACCCCCACCCCAGAGCCCCACACGAGCACGGGCCGTGCTCCCCGAGGCCAGTCAAGATAAAGTGAGAATGCTCATGGGTAATCGTAAGAGAGAGAGAGAGACAAAACACCAACTTCACAGAAGTAACACCGTCATCTCCACAGGTAAGGGCCCACTAAGCTATATACAATGAGCCTCACTGTAACACGGCTTAGAATTGGCATCGACACCCAGGGGTTAAAGGTCAAAACCCCATCAATGAGACGAAGCGTGCCGAGCGAGCTGCCACCGATGGCTGTAACGGAGCCAGGGCTGGAGGCCTCCTCCTCCGTGCCCCGGACCGACGGCTTGAGCAGGACACAGGGATGGCGCTCCACTCACGAGGCACTCCGCTCACCACCTGCCCCGCGTTTGTTTCGACGTTAGACGAGACACAGCCTTGAGCGTGCATCGCAACCGCCTCTGGACTGCACATCCCTCAGACGGCCACTCACCCCGCACCCCCACCCACCCTGTAAACAGCACCGCTGAAGTGCCTTCAGCACAGGTGCGGGACCGGCAATATTTTGTACCAATTAGCGTCTACATTGACTGTTAGTACGGCAAGTTTTAAATAAACACACATAGCTTATGCACATGCAGTGCACATTTTTACGAGTCTTTAAATCCAGTTGTTTTCCAGCCTGAACTATTTTTTCTGATGCAATGGGTTTTCTCGTCATTCGCAGAATTGAGTCATGAGTACGTTTTGCGATGGCAGATGCCTTAGGCAGTATGCTATGGATCATTCCGAATTGCAGCGGCAAATGGATTTTGTAAGGTCCGCAAATATAGCACTTACAATCTCTTTGGAGTCAATTGGAGAGTAAATCTGACCCATTAACGCCAAGAAGCCGGTCATGGTAATTTCAGAAGAAGAGAGATCAGACTGCTGCAAAGGCTATAAACATGGCACCAATTAGGCATCCGCGTCAAAGCCTGCTCCGTTAGGCAGCTGGTTTATTGGCTTATTTATTGCACGTCAAATGACATTACGTGTGGATTACAGCAAGCGCGGCCACATGTGTGGGAGCAAATGTTTGTGTGATGGCGAAATCAACTTCTGAAAAACATCCGCAGGCGCGAGACGCAATGCAACGCACCGCGAGTGAATGGGCGAGCAGCGCAGCCGCGGGATGGGGCCTCGTCGGCGTGCTGCAGTTATGTTTGCCGTGAGGATGTCTCGGATTTAATGTCGCTCGTGTTCACGCCGGATTTCGCGAGGCCGGTCGGCATCCTGCCGACCCATTTTTGGGAATTGGCGTCTACAGCAGCCGAGGAGGGGTTGTCGGCAAACGGGCAAGGGGTGACGTTTTTAAGCTGGCGTAATTAAGTTAACTACGAGTAGACTGATGTTATTCGAGCAGATGAATGTTAGTTTTATTGACACCACTGCCAAAGCAGCATCCCTAATGTTTCATTCTGGGCAGCTTGTAGGTTAGGTACAAAACTTGGCCCTTAAGCTTTCGCCACTGCAGTCAATGACATTCTATGCGAGTCATCAACCGTTCTGTCCTCACTGGGACACGGTTCAGTCGCCATTTGTTTAGTCAACGTCAGCGGTTGGTGAATGGAGACACAAAATTCTACGTTCCAATCTAATGCAGCCAGGATCCACGTGGCTTTGCATTCTGATCTCAACCGTTGTTTCTCCGCACCAACAACCTCCAATGTGGCACAGAGTCAACATGAACTGCGTACGGACACGTTCACCAGCAAGGCTGAGCCAACGCCACCACCTCCAAAAGAACGATGCCAAGTCAAGTGCCATGAACTTTTGTCCGACCTGAAATCCCGACACCACAGTGTTGTATTTCTACTGTGCATAAACATTTGGAGCTCAGGGCCTGAAAATCGGATCCGTGCACAGCAATGTCACAACAGCCCATGGAACACACCCCAAAATAGTTAACGTGCAGAAAATAATATATACGCTAAATATAAGAGAGCGACGCAGAAGT